AGGCGTTATCTTTACCCCCTCCATCCCCCCGCCCCCGCAGCCAAGGCCTCCCGCCGGGTCCATGAGATCACCTCCGACACCTGCATGCTGGCGCGCATGTACGCGGGGGACAGCCACGTGCCGGTGAGGGGGGTGGGGGGGGTGGGGGGGAGATGGCGGGTTGAGGGGAGGAGGAGGAGGAGGAGGAGGAGGAGGAGGAGGGACTGCTGGGTGCTTCCATGGGTGCTGCTGCTGCTGCTGCTGCTGCTGCACCCCTGCTAGCGGCGCATTGCCCCCTGCACTGCCCCCCCCACCCGCCCCCCACCCGCCCCCCACCCGCCCCCACCCCCAGGGTCTGATGGACTTCGGCGACGACCCGGCCCGCGTCATCAACGCCACCTACACCAAGCTCGACGACTTGGCGGACTCTCTCAAGGTGGGGCAGGGGGCGGGGAGGGGAAAAGAGGGGTGAAGGAAAAGGCCGCGGACAGGGGGTGGGGGTAAAAAATATATATATAATGAGGGGGTGGGGGTGGGGGTGGGGGGTGGGGGGTGGGACCACTGGAACTCTTTTGTGGCGCCTGAAGTGGGGGCCCTGCGCTCCCCATCCTCCCTAACCCGCCAAGAGCGTGTGTATCCCTGTGTGGCTGCATGGCTAGGGTGCCCCTGACCTTCCCCCTCACCACCCTTCACTCCAGTGACCTGCACCCCCCTACCCCCCCTCCCTCCCTCCCTCACCTCCCTCTCCAGACCCTGCACCACGGCGTGTACCTGGGCTTCCGCAAGCTGACTCGCATCACCACCAAGTTCGGGCTGCGAGTGAGTGGGGGGTGACGGAGTAGGGTTGGAGGGAGGTGGGTTGGAGGGAGGTGTGAGGGTCACCTTGTTCACCCCTCCTCACCTCGTTCCCCACCCACCTCCTAGTTTCCCCCTTTCTGCCCCCCTATCATCTGATGCATGGTTTCGTCTCCCCCTCCTTCTCCCCTCCCTCCCCTCCCCCCCTGCCCCCCAGAACATCTGGGAGGTCCCCCGCCTCAACATCACGCACTACATCGACCGCTACGACGAGCAGGCGGGCAACGTGTCCGTCCCCAGCGGCTACGTGATGACGGGCCTGTGGGACGCCGGCAACCTGTACCTGGCCAAGACGTTCGACCTGCTCACCTACGGGCCGCACATCGTGGCGCAGGGCTCCAACTTCTCAGCATGGTCCTCCTACCGCTTCATACAGGTGGGGTTGGGGGGTGTGGGGGGGTGTGGGGGGAAGAGGTGGGGTGGAAAAGGTGGGGTGGGAGGGTGGAGTGGGGTGGGGGGTGGGGCGTGTGAAAGTATGTGTACGGTGTACGGGTGCGCCAGGGTGCCATGTGTTGCCGTACTGCTAAGCACTACTGGCGCAGGGGCGCGCTCAGTGCTGCTTACGCGCTCGAACCCCCTCTTCGTTACCTCCTCCTCCTCCTCCCGAATGCGCTCACTGCATGAGTCGGGATTCGGGATTGGGACTCCGTTGATGCACTTGTCTATGTTCCCCCCCCCACTGCGCTCACTGCTTGGGTCGGGAGGCATGGGACTGTGCATCACTTCTCACCTATTTCCACCCCCTCCCCGTTTACCCCCCCCCCCGTTTACCCCCCCCCCCCCGTTTACCCCCCCCCCCGTTTACCACCCCCCCCAGGAGAACGGCCCCAACGTCATCTTCCCCGCCTACACCGACACGCTGGACGCGCTGGTGCAGCTGGCGGTGGCCAACAGCTACCTCATCTTCCGGCTGCAGCTCATCGCGCTGTGCCTGGAGGGCGGGCTGCTGTGGGGCGCGGCGTGCACCTACATATGGATGACTGCAAACAAGGTGGGCAGGGGGAGGGGGGGAGGGGGAGGGGGGGCAGGGGGAGGGGGGCAAAAAATTATATAAAAGTGAAACAACGAATCCCAATCCCATAGCCCGACTCATGCAGTGAGCGCATTCGGAGGCACTAATAACACGCATCTCAAATTAGTTACCGAATCGTTGCTTACCGTAAACCGAGACGAGGGGGGCAGTGGGAGGGGGAGGGGGGGTCTGCATTGGTACCCGCGAGTGCGGTGTGGACCCATGGGTCGACCTGCTGGTTCTCACTGCTGGCTGCGTTTTTACTATCCGTGTCGTTTGACCATTTACTGCATTCACTCGTTGGATGAATAGCGCCGCTATATGGTTGACATTTTTGTTTTTCTCGGTATGTTTCGTTTGTTGACGGTGTTGTTCTTTCCCTGCCCCCTGGTCCCCTTCATGCACCCCCCCCCATGTGGTGTCGTACGACAGTTCTCTCACAAGCGGCGCAGTCTGTACGGCGTGTTCCTGCAGATCCCGCTGGGGGTCACCCGCGGCCTCGCCAACATGTCACTCAAGGTACGATAATGTGTATACGACAACTCGAAAAAAATGAATATGAAAAGCGAAAGAAACAAAACCCTGATGGAACGCCGCCTGTTTGGGATGTGTCTGCGGATGTGGAAGTGCCAAACGTCAACCGGGAAACTTGACACGAGGCTAGATGTGATTCGGATCTGGCTTGATGTGCCGTAGTGCTCCCTATGTCACTGAAGTGATGCGCAAAGCTGCTTACTTCCCTTGTCAGGTGTCGTACACACCCAGTCACCCACTCCCAGCCTCGTGGCTAAGTCTCCTCCCTCTCCCACGCTTCCTAATCCTCCTCCCCAACCGAACAGCTGGAATCCACCGACGAGGAGGAGGAGGACGACGGCGGCAATCTGCAACACCTCGACGGTACGGCAACCCATGCAGACGCTGTTGCAGGCGCCGCCGCCGCATCAGGCAGCGGCGGCGGTGGCGGGGAGGTGCTGCTGACTGACGGCGCCGTCAAGGCAGCTGCCAGCGGCGCCGGTGACGGCAAGCGCGCGACATGGCGCGACGGGCCCCCCGGCGGCGGCGGCGGCGGCGGTGAGGGCCGTCGGCCCCCCCTGGCACTGTCCTTTGCGTTCAAGAGCTTCACGGGTGGGGTCGCGGAGGGGGTGGAGAGGTTCACGGGTGGGGTGGCGGAGGGGGTGGAGAGCGACGACTTCGCGCTGGGTGGGAGCGGGCACCACCACCTCCACTCGGGTGGGGGTCCGAGGGGGGTGGGCCACCTGATCAGCGGCGGGCTGGACAGCATCGGCAACGGCAGCGGAGGTCTGGCGGGGGCTGGCGGGCTGGGCTCCGGCGGGCAGGGCTTCTCCGGGCAGGTGTGGCATGCGGTGTCCTCGCTGGTGACCTGGAGGCGGAGGGCCAAGGTGAGGGGCGGGGGGTGGGGGGTGGGGGTGGGAGGGGGTGGGCTGGAGATACTTGCGATGACTGGTGGGGTGTAAGCTGGAAGACCTGGCTGTAGCCGATGGGTGATGGCTTGCTGGCTGGGGTTCTTGGTCCTGCCCTGCCCCGCCCCTCACACTTGCTTCTCCTCCCGCCCCTGCCGCCCTCCTGCCGCCCTCCTGCCGCCCCTCCCCCAGGTTTCCCCCTCTGCCGCCGCCGCGGTGCTCCCGGGCGGCCGCAGCCGGCGGCGGCTGGTGCACTCGAAGCGGCTGGCGCTGGGCCTGGTTGCCCCCTTCGCGCTGTGGGGGCTGGTGGTGGTGCTGATCAGCAGCATGTGGTGCCTCCACATGCAGGCGCTCACCGCGCCCATCTCAACACTCAACATCGTCAACGCATTCCTAGTGTGAGTGGGGCGGGGGAAAAGTATAGATAGGTGCACCAACGGAGTAGGAGGAGGAAAGAGGAGTGGAGAGGGAGGGTGGTGGCTGATGGCTGCCGCTAGCTCAGGCTCGGCCTAGTGGGCCCGGGGCCGTAAGAGCCGGGAATCCTGATCAGCTCAGCCGTCTCTCGTTGTTTGGGGGTGCGCTCTTGGTCGCCCCGTGTCGCATGGCAGCTCTCCTCGGTTCCTGTCTTCAAGCCCCCACTGGTTTGCGCGCCCCTCGTCCTCATCTCTCCCCCCCTGCTGCCCTCCTCCCCCTGCTGCCCCTGCCTCCCTCCGCAGACGCTTCCACCGCACCCTCTACTACGTGCTGGTGAGTGACCCATGGGTCAGGGCGGGAAGGCGGGAAGTCCCATTCCAAACACGGGGACAACACTCCTCTTGCGCAGCTTTGCATTGCAACGATCCGCCTGCTCACGACTTCTGTGTCACTCGCACACGTCTTCTTCCGCCTGCCTCCCTCTTCACCGTCACCCGCCCCACTGTCGTACAAAGCATGCATGCTTTGATCTCTTTTTTTCTTCTTTCCCTTCACCCCCGCCTCCCCTCAGGCCGTGTGTTCCGCCTTGAACTACGGCGCCATGAATTACTACAAGGCCTTCCTCACGGCGGAGCTGGACGGATGGAAGACCGAGTACGCGGCCATGCTGTACGGCAACGGGGTACGTTGTAGTACGGCAACAGCACGGCAGTAGTACGGCATGGAGCTGTTCGCATGCTGCATGGAGTGAAGGGAGGATGAAACGGGCTGGTGCGGTGGTGTATGCGCTTTATCGCTGTTAGTACCCTGTAGTACGCAGAGGGAAGGGTGTAGGGCAGAGGGAAGGCATCCCCACCGCCCCACCCCCCTCCGCCCCCCCTGCCACCTGCTCCCGCCCTCCCCTCCGCAGGCGGTTCCTAACCCCGACGACACGCACTTCCATCTGGCCCACACGGGTGTCGTGTTTGGCGGCTTCAAGCGGCCCGCGGACCTGCTGTACCACACACAGGACTGCTTGTGCATCAACACCTCGCTCTGCCAGACGGCGGACAGCCCCTACTACGCGGTGAGGGCGGGGAGGGGGAGGGAGGGCGGGGAGAGGGAGGGAGGGAGGGAGGGAGGGAGAGGTGTGCCCTAGGCTTGCAGCCTTGGCCGTAACGGCTGCAGAGCTGCGGCTGTGGTGCGCTGGACGGAAGGGAGAGAAGCGGGGTAGGAGGGAGGGGCGCATGGCGGGTTGAGGTGGGGGTGGGGGTGGGGAGCTTGGAAGGACGGGAGAGTCGCATGTTGGTTTGCTGGGCGGTAGGTGGGTGGGTGGGTGGGTGCTTCGTGTCTAGCTGCATCTGCATCCTCCGCCTTGCTAGTCTTTCAGCTTTCAGTCACGTGTAGATAGGATCTCCACACCACCACCAAGACGTCACTTCGCCATCACTTCGCATCACACCTTCCTACAACTACAACTGCACCTCGGCTACTCAGCATCTATCCGTAGATAGATTCCTCACCACCACCATCCCACCACCATCCCACCACCACCACCATCCCACCACCACCACCATCCCACCACCACCACCACCACCAACAACAACAACAACAACAACAACAAACAAGAACAAGAACTACACACATCTTTCGACAACTACACTCCACACTCCACCATCACCTTCTCATCACCTACACATCCTCTCCTCTCTCTCCCCGCTATTCGAACACCCTATACGCTAACCACTCCCCCCCGCCGCCCTCCTCCCCTCACCTACCCGCCGCGTCTCCCCTCTCTCCCCCCCGCCTCCTCCGCCTCCTCCGCCTCCTGCCCCTCTCCTCCCCCCCCCCCCCCTACCCAAGCAGGTCACCCGTAATGGGCTGGACGTGCTGATCAAGACCACCTTCAGCTACGTGGAGTCGCTGCTGCCTCAGGTGGACGTGGGCTCGGGGCTCAACAGCTCGGAGTTCAGGTTCCTGTGGACCACCGGGCACGCGGACACGGAGGGCGGCGTGGTGGGTGGGGGGGTGGGAGGAGGGGGGAGAAGGAAGGAGGGGTGGAGGCAGGGGGAGAAGGAGGGGTGGAGGCAGGGGGAGGAGGGGGGGAGGCAGGGGGAGGAGGGGGGGAGGCAGGGGGAGGAGGGGGGGAGGCAGGGGGAGGAGGGGGGGAGGCAGGGGGAGGAGGGGGGGAGGCAGGGGGAGGAGGGGGGGAGGCAGGGGGAGGAGGGGGGGAGGCAGGGGGAGGAGGGGGGGAGGCAGGGGGAGGAGGGGGGGAGGCAGGGGGAGGAGGGGGGGAGGCAGGGGGAGGAGGGGGGGAGGCAGGGGGAGGAGGGGGGGAGGCAGGGGGAGGAGGGGGGGAGGCAGGGGGAGGAGGGGGGGAGGCAGGGGGAGGAGGGGGGGAGGCAGGGGGAGGAGGGGGGGAGGCAGGGGGAGGAGGGGGGGAGGCAGGGGGAGGAGGGGGGGAGGCAGGGGGAGGAGGGGGGGAGGCAGGGGGAGGAGGGGTGGAGGCAGGGGGAGGAGGGGTGGAGGCAGGGGGAGGAGGGGTGGAGGCAGGGGGAGGAGGGGCGGAGGCAGGGGGAGGAGGGGTGGAGGCAGGGGGAGGAGGGGTGGAGGCAGGGGGAGGAGGGGCGGAGGCAGGGGGAGGAGGGGTGGAGGCAGGGGGAGGAGGGGTGGAGGCAGGGGGAGGAGGGGTGGAGGCAGGGGGAGGAGGGGCTTCAGGTGCCTGCGGCATCCGTGTGAGGGGAACTGCTTTATGTGCCTCCCCAAGTGCCTGAGCAATCAACCTTCTTTTGTTTCTGGTTTTGGATTTGAGGGTTTTGTTCCTCCGGCCACCTCTCCCTCCTCCCGCCGCCCCGTCTCCCCCGCACCCCCCGCCGGCATGCGTCCTCCGCCCCCTGCAGCTCCCTGCCTCCTGCACAACCCACCTAATCCCTTCCACCCACAGCAGCATAGCACCCACATCATAGCAGCGTGCATTCCTTTCTTGTTTCTTCCCTTGCCCCTTTATGCCTACATGAGTCGGAATTCGGGGTTGGGACTCCGTTGATGCACTCTGCATTTTTACCCTTTATCTAATCCTCCCCCCCTCCCCCTCCCTCTCTCTCCCCCCCCTCTCCCCCCCCCCTCCGCCCCCCCCCCCCCCCTCCCCGCAGACCCTGCTTGCCGACATCTTCAACAACGACGTGCAGGGCACCTACGACTCTATCAAACACCAGCAGATCGCCCTCTTCTGCATCGCCTGGGTGTGGGGTCTGGGCTTCCTGCTGCTGCAGCTGCGGCCGCTGCTGCGGCGGGTGCACAGCGAGATGCGGCGGATCGCGGAGCTGCTGAGTCAGTTGCCCGGGGAGGTGGACTGCGAGGCGCTGGTGACGGCGGTGATACTGGAGGATGTGTCCTCGGGGCCGCAGGGAGGGGGGCCGCAGGGGGGGAGGGAGCAGAAGGAGAGGCGAGGAGGCGGAGGGGAGGGCGGTGGCGGACAGTGGGGAGGCGGGGGGCAGGTAGACGGGCAAGGAGGCGGAGGCGGCGGATGGAGTGGAGGTGGCAAGACGAGTGAGTGAGGGTGGGAGGGTGGGGGAAGCGGGTTTGGGTGGGGAAGCGGATCTCGGTTTGGTCTCCTGGAGGAAAAGGAACGGAAGGGGTGGGGAGGGGAGGGAGGCGTGTGGGGTTTTGCTCAGCTCCTCAGAATGGCTCATGCTGACCGCTTCTCCTCTTGCTTGCATCCATTGCCTGTAGGAGGTATAATGCACGGGGTGCTGGCTTCCCTTATCCACACACCTCCCCTTGCTTTCCCGGCTCTCACCTCCTCCCTCCTCTTGCGCCCCCCCTCCACCCCTTGCATGATGTTTCCTTTCAATATCCCCTACTTCTTCCCCCCATTTCTTATCTCCCCTCCCCCCCTGTGCAGTGGGTCGTTTCCCCGAGGTAATCACCTCTGCGCCCTCTGTCAGCCGCCGCCGCTTCCCCGCACTGCCCTCCGTTCGGGCCCTGGCAGGGACGGGGGCGGGTGGCGACCCGCTGGGCTCCAACCATGCTACCGAGGGGCCGGAGGGGGCGGGCCGGGCGCCTTGAGCGGCGGTAACGCGTCGGACAGACCCCCCAGGAGGAGAGGGGGGCATCAGGAGGGGTTTGCGACGGGAAGGCACTGGGATGGGATTGGTAGAGCGGGTTCGATTGGTTGTGACGTATGGCTTGGTGGGTAGTGTGAACATGGGGCGCGGTATGATGGGAAAAGAATATGCGGGGGGACCGCGATGAAAGGCAGGGCTCTTGGATGCAAATGTTTAGCGGTGATGATGGCAGTTACATGAAAGCAGTTACATGTCTAATGTTTTAGCAAATCTTGGTTGGGTTGCTAAGTGATAATGGAACTAGTTACATGTCTATCGTGTTAACAATTCTTGGTTGGGTTGCTAAGTGATAATGGGATTCTTGTTGTTTGTTGGTTCTGTTGCATGTACGGTGCATGCTTGGTGTCGTGCTGGTGTGTGCGGTTTGTTTCTCCTAGTGAGCATGTAAGGAGTACGTATGCTGCACGGGACTATTGTTCCATATTATTTTCTAGGAAGAAAATGGTGATGGCATGCAAACGTGCGCTTCCAAAGACCTAAGACAGGGCCACCTGCCAGATGTCATTCACATACACGTATATGAAGCATGATGAGTGAGTGACCGTTACAATGGTTCCCAGAAAGGGGACATTGGTGATGGGATGTTGCGGGCGGGCCAATAGGGCCGGGTGAGGGAGGCACGGGTGCGAATTGACCCTTAGCAGCCTTAACTGCCGCCGTTGCTCTGTTGGGGTTTTCGCCGTTAATCTGTTGTTTTTTGCCGTTCATCTGTTGGTTTTTCAAGGTGTTGAAGTACGGTGTTGTCGCTACGAGGCAATCAAATGTGAGATGGTCAAGTACGATGTGGTAAAGTGAGAATGTTTTGGCATGTGGTCTTTGCCCAAACGGTGTTTTGGGGCAGGGATGTTGTTTGTGGGTTTTAGCTGGTTAACAAGATGCAAGACGATGATGGGTTGCGTGCGGTTGTGGTGGCTTCGCTTGTTGGTTTTCGTGAGGTTGCTACTCGCCCCCTTGTCGCATCATACTAGATGCGCCGGTGTGGTATCAATTACGGAGTTGTTACAAGAGGTCCACTGTTTTAGAGGGCGGACAATCAACGCGCTTTCGCGCGTGTCGTTCCCGTGAATGCGTGTCTTCTCTTTTGGATGCGGTACCTACGGTACGGTGGTAGCTTGTACTGATGATGCGGCGTTGCCGGTGTTGCTGGTGCACTAGCTCCGATGATGCGATGTGTTTTAGTTCGGTTTGTTGGTGATTTGTTGGTCAGGTCGAAAAGGGTTTGTTGGTCAGGAGATAGGGGGAGGACCAACCGTCGATGTCCAATGATTGCGGCTTGTGTGCGTGCCGGCACTGTTTGGCAGGCGACAAAAAAATGGATGGACGCAATGCCCTGCTGTCTCCTCGGGACTGCCCATTCGGCAAGGTGACCTTGCAAGTTGCAGATCGTACAGCTGCGGACACGTGCGGATTGCGGTGCGGACCGGGGCCTTCAAGCCTGCTGAACAGTAGCCACTGGTGAGATGTGTATGTGGGGCCTTATTGCATGTGAGGCCGCGGGTTCTCACACGCGCACCGGTCGACTTGCACGGCGGTGTGCTGCCGCATGCCGCTATTCATCCGTTGTCAGGACTACTGGACGTCCGTACGGGCGCTTATCGACATGACATGACATGACATGGCATGACATGCGCGTCCATCGCCCCTTACCGCCATACTCTCACATGTAGCGGTGTGTTAAAATAACTGGCCGCGACCTTTCCTTCAACCAAAAGTCATACGTCTGTGTATGTGTGCAGCAGCTGCAGCAGGGTGCACCTCCTGTCCCGCGTGGCCCCTGTCATGGACATGCTGGAGGAAGTGGTTCGTGTGGCGGCAACCGGTCCCCGGATCGTGAAACACATACTGTCTGCTGTGCTGCGATGTTGCCCCTGCGCGACGCCTGTGTGACGACGTGTACGTCAAGAGAGATGTGGACCCCTCTTGCGTCTTGGTCTGGTTTGGCTGTCGAAGTTGATGTGTATGTGGTAAACCAATGTCGATGTGCGTGTGAAGATAATGTGGATATGTGAGGAAAGGCAATGTCGATGTTGCGTGTATAATATGGTTCTGAGCCGCGATGTTTATTTATCTGCTGTCGCTGTTTGTGTGCGTGGGCGCGTGCTTCGGGTGTTTGTATGCGTGTAGGCTATGTCCCGGATTGTGTTCCGGTCGTAACTGCGGTTTTTCCAAAGGAAAAGGCCTTATGCGGCTTCAGCATCTATGTGTGATGCGCCAGGATTGTGAGCTTCGTGGTATGCTGGAGTCAGAGGGAGGAAGGTCAACGGGACTGGAGGGCTTGCTTTCCGTGAAGGCTTGAAATGAGGCAACGGCGGTGTCCTGTCATGCCACAGAACCTGCCTCAACCCTCTCTGTATGCGTTTGTGGAGTCCTACCTTCATGTCTTGCCGTGTGTCGTACATGTTGCTGTTGCGTCGCCGTATACTCCTATTTACCTGGGGTGCAAGGTCCTTAGCACGGCTTCTCCGACTAATGTAAATGGGGGTGAAGGTGGCAAGTGATACCGGTAGGCCTTTTCCTTAAGCGCATCAAGAGGAGGGGAGCTGTCAGTCCCGATCATGATTGCTTGATGGCAAAATCCCATCACACACCAGACTTTGTACGTTTTCGCCATCGTCTGCTGAGAGCTAACACGTATCATCATCTCACTCTTCGTCGGAAACTGGTTCGCAAAGTTGAGAGCCTTGGGGCAGTGCCTTTGTTAATTCTGTTTTGTACTGCAGCAGTACTGCTTACTGTGAGCAATAATAAGCGTTGCTAGTCAAGCGTGCGCGGTCGTAAGAACCAACTGTTACCGTTACTTTGAGCTGCTACTATGTTTCCGTGTAAGAGCGTGTTCTTAGATAATGTTGGCTGCATAATAAAGTGGTGTAAGTTGAAGTCTCTCGTGCCTCGTGCTGTAACAAACACAGTTAAGCACTCCAACCTCCAACGCACAATAATGCTGCCCACCTGGCTGCCTGGCTCACAGCAAAGTCTGCTGAGGTTTTGGTTTGGTGGTCCTCCTGTTCTCCCTCTGTAACAGTCCACATCTCCTTCAATGGATGAGTGAATGATTGACCGTTACAGTGATCCCGTTACATGTTTGTCCTATGGGGTGTTAGTCGCAGTTTGCGCAGTACCAAAGCGCCAACCTCAAGAGGAGAACGCTAGGAGAACGAGATATGTGTGGGCATCCAGCCATAATGGCAACCGGAACCCAACTTGTCCGGGCCCTATCTGCAGCGGGCAGCCAGCAAGCCACCTCGCCCACTGCTATTCCTTGCGTTTCCCTGTCTGCACACAGCCCCCTGCATCCCGTCCCTCCGCTTCACGGTCAGTACTTGGCGTGGCTCAGTTGACCTACCCCCTCCGCCTTACCCTCCTCGCCCTCACTGCACGCTCAGCCGCATGAACCGCAGCACCCCGCACCGCCACCCCATCAACACCCACACGCCGCCCGCGCCTCCAACCGCCCCCTCACCCGCCTCGCCCCCTCCAACCCCGGCGGCCCCCTCCCGACCGGCACTCCCACTCGCGCCTGCAACCCCACTCCCCCTCGGCCTACCCTTCCTTCCGCCCCTTGCACCTCGAGCCCCTCCCCTCTCAACCTCCCCCTCCTCCGGGTCCACTTCCTCCTCCCCCTCCTCTTCCTCGCCCCCCTTCTCCTCCCGCTTCCTCCTCCTGTCCCTCCCCTGCTGCTGCCGCTGTTGCCGCTGCTCCATCACGCCCAGCCACTGCTGTCGCCGCTGCCGTACATCGGCGGGTGTGCCGTACCCGGCCCTGATAACGTACAGCTGCTGCCGTACATCCGGTATGACGTTGTACGGGCGGTGCTGCTGCACGTGTGCCTCCCTGGCCCGCCAGTGCAGGCCCCCCGGGTAGAACAGCTGCAGGCCGCCAACCTCGGAGGGAAGCAGCAGCCGCAGGTGGGGGCCGTCCCTGGGGCGGGGTGGGGTGGGGGGCAGGAGGTTAAGGAACACCCAGACCACAAATGATGGCAAGGGTTAGGAGGCGTCAGGATGCCACGTAAGAGGGGGCGGGGTGAGGGGCTGAGAGGGCGGTGAAGATGTAGGAGTGAGGTAAGTGGGGTACTGAGGCGCTGAACGAGGGAGGAGAGAGGACTGGGAAGCATACGACGGTAGGGGCACGGGTCGCCGGGGCTGCCCTCATCCCAACATCGAGGTGGGGTAAAATTATATAAAAGTGAAACAACGAATCCCAATCCCATAGCCCGACACATGCAGGTGGGGTGGGGAGCGCCTTGCAACACCCGCCTTCCCACCAGCTCTCCTCCTCGCCGCCTCATCCTGCCATCCGATGCGCAACCTTCACCCTCACACCCTCCCTCCAACCCTCTCACGCCTTGTTACCGGCCACAGGTCGCACCATTCAGGCAACCTCTCGAACCCCCCTCCCCACCCTACCACCCCCCCGCCCCGCCCCGCCCCTTACCTGACCAGCCCCCCCAGCGGCACGTGCGGCCGGCGGTACCGCATGTCCGCCTGCGCCTCCCACGCCATGGCCGCACCCACTCCGTCCTCCCCGCCGTACAGCAGCAGGTGCAGCGCCGGGCTGTAGCACACCGACCACAGGCAGCCGATGCGAGCCTCTGAGGGGGAGGAAGGTTGGGGGGTGGGGGGTGGGGCATTGGAAGGGAGCGGAGAGGGGGCGGTGAAAGTTGTGCAGGAGAAAACACGGGCATCGAGCAACCCGGTGGCCGCAGAGTACGACATGCAGCAGACAGCCTCCAAAGCAGCCGCAAGAGCGAAGCCGTCACCGCGCTGCCCTCAACAACAGCAACGGCTAGCACTCCCTCACCAGACACTCCCACTCACAACACACACACATCCCCTTCCGCTCCTGCCCTGCCACCGCCCCCTCTGCCCCCCCCACCCCCCCCCACTCCCTCCTTCCTCCTCACCTTTGAACGCCACGCCCCCCACCGCGCTGCCGTCGTCCCCAGTCAGGCACGCCGCCGCATCCAGCAGCGCCGCCCGCAGCCCCCCATCGTCCTGCGCCAGGGCCAGAGCGGCGGGCCGGCGGCACCAGGCGGCGTCGTGCGCGTAAGAGCGGTGCAGGATGCGGTCCAGGAGGGGGGCGGACACGTCCCTGGGAGCGGAGCGGAGGGGGTAAAGGGGCAGGAGGGGGAGCGGTAGGGAAGGGAGCTGTGGTGGAGGGGGCGAGGAGGAGAAAGGCAAGCAGCGGTTATGTCTATACAGGGTGCGGAAGGGGCAATGCAACGCAAGACAGAACAAGGCAAGGCACCGGTGTGGCGGGACGCCCCCACTCAGGCTCTCATGCCCGAACTGCCGTAGTAACTTGTTCAATAAAACAGCTTTGTGCGCCGCATGGAATCCCCTCTCTCCTTCCTCTCCTCTCAAGACCTCTCCCCGACTAGATCCGCATCTCCCCTCTTCCTCCCGCGCCCGCCTCTCTCCCCACTACCTTCCCCACCCTAGTCCAACAACCGCACCTGTCATCCCACAGCTTGATGCGCCCCGTGTAACCCGCCGTGACAAACAAGTGACCCGCGGGTCCACCTGCCGCTCCCGACCGCCCGCCCAGACCGCAGCCCACCGCGGCAGCTGCAGACTGCGCCGCCTTGCTACCGCCTCTTTCACCTCCTCCTCCTGCGCCTCCATGCGACTGTGACTGCTGCTGCGGCTGCTGCTGGGACTGCCGCCCTCGCCCCTGCTGCTGTTGCTGCCCCTGCTCCTCCTTCACCTCCACTGCCCCGCCCTGCCGCTCCTCCTCCTCCTCCTGCTCCTCGGGAAAGTCCGTGTCCCACACGGGGTTGGACAGCACCCGCTGCAGCGGCAGCACGTCGGCCGGGATGTGGAAGAGCAGCTGTGGGGGCGAGGGAACGTGGAGGGAGGGGAGGGGAAGGGCGGCGGGGGGGTGGGGAGCGGGGTGATCGAGACACACACGGGTTTACACGGGATCTTCAGATTGGAGCCGGAGAGTGGGCTGCAGGTAGAACATGAGATGATGGAGGCGTGAGGGGGAGGCGGAGGTAGCTGAGGCCCTTGGGGACCTTTGCGGCGACGTTTGTTGTGATCAGCACCACATAAGCAATGTGAGCGCGACCACACAGTCGAGGAAGCAGGAAGCGCCCGGGGCACCGCCACCCCCCTCCTAGTCCCTCTCCCTCCAACCCCCACGCCCCACAGCACCTGTGTGCGCTCCAGCCCAGCTGCCGCACCACCTCCACCACCACCTCCACCCCCAGCAGCCACTCCGCGCGGTAGCCTCCACAGCGCCACGCTTCCGTCCCAGCACCCCACAAGCAGCTGCGGAGGACCGACCCGCGGGTCAGGCGTGTGCCAGTCGCAGCAGGACGCCAGCGACCCGCCCAACCGCTCCCGCGTCAGCACCTCCGCAGGGCGCAGCAGCTGTACGACAGGCGGAGGGGGGCCCGGAGCAGTGCCGTGCAGCAGCGGTGGCGGCGGCGTCCCGGGTGGCGATGCCGGCGATCCCTCCGCTGCGCCCTCCTTTCCCGTACCCTCCATGGGCGCTCCATGGTCGTCTCTGCCCTCCTCCTCCTCGCGAGCGGCTGCACAGGGCTGCTGGCCGCTGCCACCCGCACCAGCAGCAGCAGCGCCTCCGCTGCCGGCCGCACCGCTGGCGTGGGTGCGCTGAGCCGCCTGCGTGCGGAGGGCCGCCGGGTCCGGCACCGCCGACACCACCACCGAGCCGTCCCCCAGCACCATCGCCAGCAGCCCCAGCACCGGAAGACTGATGGGAGCAGTTGCTGCTGCCGCTGCTGCATTACCTTGGTCACTACCGCCCTCCGGTCCAGCAGCTGCGTCGCGGTTGTTACTGTGGCCACTGCTCCTACCGCCGCTGCTGCGGGTATGGGTATGGGTGCTAGGGTCGAGCTGCTGCTGCTGTTGCGGCCAGATGCAGCCGGGGCTGGGGCACCAGCGCACATCCCACGCCACTCGACCGTTGTGCGCGAGGACGAGTACGCAGCGGGGTAGGCCCTGGGCACGGGGGAGATATGCGGTAGCAGCAGATTGCGGCAAAGCAGGTGCAGATCGGGTTGGAATACGGTAATTACGGTAAGGGGCACCAGCCTGGTATGAAGCGCTGGACGCTGCAGGACAATGCAAAGCATTTTCCCAGCGTCCTTTCCTTGGGACCGTGAAGCCATCCTTACCTTGGGACATGCTGCTGAGGCGGCCCCGTGCGGCAGCGCCCAAAGCGTCACCGCTCCCGGCCCGTTAAGAGCCGTGTTGGTCAGGTTGGTAGCGCTGTCAGGCGGATGCACTCCAACTGCAACATACTCCTCATCGGCATTGCCCGCTTTGGACCCACTGTCATCTGCCGCAAACGCCTCTGCCGCAGTTGCCGCAGAGACAGCTGGCGCTGTTGCCGATACTAAGGAGATTGGGGGAACTCCTCGCGGGGGCGGGCAGAAGTCCGCGCACCACACCGGTCCGCCCGCGAATGCCACCACATCAACGGTGTAACGCGAGCTGTTTCTTTCTTGCGAAGGTGGAGTACGGGAGCCTGAAAGACCTTGTGTTGAGGGAACTGACACTAGCGTGTGCGCATGATATAAGTCAAGTTGAAGCAACCGATTGGGTTCTTTGCTTGCCGCAGCTTGCGGCAACGCTAGAAGTGGCGAACACTTGGAGAATAAAGAGGCGTTCGGCTCCTCGGCGTTTCCTAGCAAGGCGACATCGCAAGGTTGGACCGCCCAGGTGCCCGGTGGCGGCACCCAGGCGGACATTCCCTCAAGGCAGTTTAAGAATAAAGATGAAGGTGTCTCTCAGTTGTTGATAGAAGGCACGGCGAAAACGGATTCAACTAAAAGCCCGAAGACGATTTGCGATACAAGTGCGAAGCCGCCTTTAAACACAGGCGCATGGTTCAGGCTGCTGCAGGCTGTGATGTTGAAGACGCTTGGCATAAACACCTCTGAAGCGTCGTGCCGTACCCTGATGGCGGGAGGCGGAGTTACGGCTCAAGCGCCAAGGTGCCCGGCCGTCCTGCACTTGCCCGGTTACGATGGGCACTGCGTTTGCGCAAAAAAGGCGGCAGAAAAAAACGTCCGAGTCCTTGGTTCCCCAACTCCTTGGTTGCGGGAATTGGGTCAGGTGTATATCAGGTCAAGCAATGCCAGACACTTAACAAGAGTTTTGATCCCAAGTTCAGGATATTTCGCAGCCTCAGTTCGCAGCCTCAGTCGCTCAAGCGAGCTGACACCTTCCTGCGTTACCGTCAACTTCCTTTGTCGTAGAGGGGGACACCTGAAAACGGTATGCAAAGTAGCACCATTGAGCACATGCAGCCGCTGGGCAGTTTGCGTAGTATAAATTCAGGCAGGGCAAAGGCGGATCCTGTCTAAAGTCGCAACAAGGCTAGTTGAACTGCATTGTCACAGCTAGTAATCAGCAGCTAAAACGTTTGTTCCTCTTTATTATTAAGTAAACGCTGAAACAGGAAGTTAACATGTAGCGAAGCTACATAAGCTGCGAATGACCTAAACCTTAGCATCGACGCCACCGACATGCGCTCAACAAGGGCAGTTCCTTTCCGGGCTACAAGGGAGGTACCGGTTGCAACAGTACCTTGCATAAGACCTGCGCTTTAGCACGGATGCCAAACAAAAGTGTGCAACAATTCAGAGGAGCAACAATAAAAAGCCATACTTTGCAGACAAGGAAAACTAAGCGTACAGCAGTTTCTGAGGAAGTGCAACAACAGGTCACTTACAGTAAGGGGAACGTGGGAATGGTGCAACAACAGGTTGAAGGCAACATATTTCAAGAGCAAACGCTTTTCCCTTCATGCATCGGAGGCGTTCATTGGTAGCACCTTGTACGCATGCTTGTAAGGGGGTATGGGGGTATGGGGGAAGGGGCACCAGCCCCTTCCCCCACCAAGATGCTTAAAGTGCCAAAGGAGACAAGAGCTCCACAGACGGCTGCGACACTCCACGCTAGTTGACTGACTGGCTGTAGCTGTAAAAGTAGGGTGCAAGGTGTCAACAACGGTTGGAGCTTGTTAATCCTGGCCAGCTGGGAAACGGTGGCAGTTGCAGACAGTACTGATGGAGTAAAACGGCGCTTTGTCCCAAATAACAGATTTTACAGACCTTGGCTCATGTATATGTTATAGGAGCCCACCAACTACATCGATTGCTATTTTACTTGTATATTGGCAGGGTATTAACAGATCGCGCTGGCTTCCCTTTCAACTTCTTCGTTCCAAATGGTGCACCCACAACGAGTCTCAGGCGGCATCCACTGCACTCAATTCCTGAACTCGGGCACTAGCGCCGGTAAAGTTAAGCAACCGATTTGCTCCAAGCCACAATCGCAAACCTTTCGCAACCGAAAGACCCGAAGCATTAGACCAGCACGACTGAAGGAAGTAACTGCGCATGGCATTGGACAAGCGGTAAGCGCCAGCCCCAACCAACTTTTCAACGATGGACTGGATTAATGTGCTGTACGATTTTGGTACACATGAACGCAAGTTGTCAGGGGTTTGCCCACTCGAGCGCAAGACAGCAACGGCAGTGCAAAGTTTCAGCACACGTATAGCCTGCTGCCTTCAATTCCATACCGGTAACAACATGGATGAACCGGTGCGCGAAACATTGTCGGGAGGTCCCCAACTGTCAAGCAACCGCGCAAACTCACACATGCATGTGCGGAAAAAAGATGTCCAAATGGCAATACGTGTAAACGGATTGTAGATGACCAACGGGGCTCCCTACTGACAACCAACAGCTCAGCAACGACGCCCTGCCGCAGCGTCATAATCCTCGCCGTTGCCACACACGTGCACGTCAAGGAAACACGTAACCGTTAAATTGCGAACTGAAGAAGACAGACACCTCTAGGACGACCCCGCTGGGAGACACACCATTGCGGCTCCGTCAGATTGGCGCACCACTTGCACGGGCATGATGTTCGTGAAGGGCACCACATGTGTGCCGTGGCAAGTGATTCACAAGGTCATAACCTCCAAACGTATAGATGGTGCTTGAAGGCGCCCACAACAGCCTGATGCACACCCTGATTCGAACCGCAACACATCTTGAGTCGCAGGCAACACGCCGTAAATGGTGTGCAGTGGGTAGTTGTACGGATAGGCACGTCATTGTCCTATGTCCCCGTGTGCATAAAAAGCTATGGAAAGCTGCTAGATGGGCGCAGATAATGACCGGTATGGAAAACAGCGAGCGCACTTATCTTTCGATCCCTTATTTCCCGTTGTAGAACAACCAATAGGAAAGGACGGAAGAGTAGCACGCCAGGCGTGATGCTCAGAACCCAATCAGCTGCATTCGCACAAGGATGCGCCCCAAAAGCATTTATCGCAACCCTCCCTCGCAACGATTCACGACTGTGACAATATTGTGACCGTAAAAGGTCGTGAAACAGATTTTGAAACGGCAATTACACCCAAAGGACGGCTAAACATTCCTGCGCTTCGACAGAACGCAGCTGGCAATAAATAGGCGCACATGAATTCCAACGATAACTTTCCGCTTTGGCGAAAGCGTGACGTAGGAAACCCCACATCGTGCTAAACACACACCACAAGCTTGGCGATGCCCATATCGGCTCATTTAGTGTCAGGCGCAAAAAGCACCTGGCAACATCAGTTTGCGACCTCAATTAATCCGTGGGATAACCTATCTCAGCCGGGCAGCGCGCCTTCAGGTCCTTGCCAGAGGCAGAACCCCGAGGGTTCGCAGCTGCTGCCATGCTGCCAGGCATGTCGACAAACACTGAGCGACCCGCCGCCACATCTGCACCTCCTCCAGGGGTGTGCGGCAGGCTGAACTCCGCAGGGTTACGTTGGTTAACGGGCTCGCCTCCAACGTCCGCCGCCACATTAACCACCCATACGTCAGGCCGGGGGGTGACGGCACGAGCAGAGTACGGCCGAGAGGTCATCCGCGCCTCAGCAGTTGGCTGGGGCTCACTGGTGCTGGGGCCAGCATTAGCGCTGGGAGAAATGACAGGAACGGCGGCCGATGCGGCTTCAGAAACGGCGACAGGAACGGCGGCAGGAATGGAGGCAGGGGGGCTTGAGCCGCCCGTATCCTTTCCGCCGATGGCATCAGCTGCGGTGGGAATTTCCATCTGGTTCTGGTTGTTGCTCGGCGTCACGGTACGGCTCTCACGACGCTGCTTGTACAACACGTAGACGGTGACGATGATCGCGATCGCAGCCACTCCGCCCAACACGGAGCCGACCACAGGGCCCACAACGGACTTCTTCTTGTCGTCGTCTTTCACAAGTGTGGCTGCAGTTGGCGGCGGCGGTGGAGACGGGGTTCCACCAGACTGCGTTTGGGAAGTCGGAGGTGGAGGCGGCTTGATGGACCCAGGTGGAGCAGGTGGCGATGGTGGTGAGCTGAGCGCCGTGCCCTGTAAGACCACGTAGTTGCCCTCGGAGGTCACACGACATGTGACGAGGCCGCTAGAAGCGCGATATCTGACAAAGGTCGATGGGGAAGAGCTAGGAGCGAGGCCCTGAAGACCGCCCTTGAGGGTGTTGGTGGCGGGATTGTACTGCGCGCAAGCGGTGGCCAGGCTCCTGTCAAAGGTCGAGACGGGAATCTGGATCTCAATGTAGTTAGTGACTCCGTCCAGGGATGGCAGAGCTGAGGCGGCGCTGGCCACATTGTTCCAAGTCACGCTGGCAACACTGCTCAGCAGGGAGACATCCGCTGGCAGCGCGCTGCTGGCTGCCAACTTAACCAGTACGGCAGCCTGGGGGAGGTACGACAGACCAAGACTGAAGCCATCAGCCTGAGAAGCAGCGGCGCCAGAAAGAACCAACTCCGCAGTGCTGCTCTGCGACGTGTAAATGCTACCAGGCGCACTTGTCGTCGAGTCCACGCCAGCACGCAGGCTCAGGGAGGCAGTGGCGGAGGAGCCGCTGCCCATGACGTTTACAGCTCCTGCCGCCACGTACACTCCGCCGCCCTCCACGGTCAGGTAGTTGCCGCCGGGTGTGGCCTGCATGCCCAGGGAGTCTGCCATCATGGCCGTGAGGGAGAGCGTCTGCTTGACCCACTCCAGGGCGGTGGTGGAGGAGACGTCTAGCAGCCGCCTGGCAGCAGTGGCGGTGGTGGCAGGGGCGGTGGCGTTCAGCAATGTGATGATTTGCAGGCAGAAGGCCTTGGTGATGGTGGTGCCGCTGCCGCCCGCATCAACCACGGTGTTCATGATGGAGACAGCGCCGGCCAAGATGGTGCTCTTGGCGGTCTCAGTGAGCCGACCAGCAGCACTACCGACTGTGTTGGCGATGGAGGAGAGAGCCAGGGAGGCCTGCGATGGGAGGGTGGAAAAATTATATAAGAAATGCAAACAACTGCGATGGGAGGGTGGGGGTGGACAGGAACAGGGTTTTAAGGCAGAACGGGGCAGTTGGAGTTGGAATGCGCCGTAAGGATTTTATGTAAGCCGGAGTATTACATACGGTATGCACCCATTGAGGTGCTACCGAGGAGGAAAGGAAGTACACGAGGATCATGCCCACCTGATCAGGATCTTGGAAGTTGGCGTTTGCCAAGATCGAAGAGACCACAGCCGCTGTCTGGTCTGAGGCCACTTCTGCCGCCGTCTTGTACTCCTTAGCAGCAGCCACTTTAGCGGAAGCTGTCTTGGCGCTGGCAGAAGTGCTCGTGCCCATGTATGCCATAAGCAGGGACATTTGGTTCGCCGCTTGGAGAAGGGTTTGAAGGTCATTCGACTGCATTTGGCATGGGAGGCAATACAATGAGACAATTAGCCATAGCTACAGCAGCAACCATAAACAACAGCAGCAGCCATAAACAACATCGCAAGGGGCTCAGCAACCTTACATTGGAGAGACGGCTCAGGAACAATAGGAACAACATACACGACCGCAAGTCGTACCTGGCCCAAGGCAGTCATGTTGATAGACGACAGGACTGACGTTGCGTCGAAGTTGGCACTCGGAGGCTTGATCACCACAACAGCCGATCCACATGTACGGACGCCCTGGCTGTCCTTGGCGCAACCGTACACGGTAACGTCCCCTTGCGGCAGTGCGATAATGTTAGCTGAAGTTAGGATACTCAGCTGCTGTGGCCGATCCTCAGTTCCCGTCGCGGTGGGAACACGCACACCAAACTCGTAGGTCAGCTGTGAGTCCTGCGCGTCCGACCAGCCCTGGGCTTGAGCCTTTACGACTGCGTTCGGGAAGGTGTCTGAAATGACCTCGATGCCCAAGCAGGCTGCGTTACTAGTTTCGCTGAGGGTGCAGGCGGGCGCGGAGTTGAGGGGCACGGTGACCATGGCTGAGCCGTCCAGGCCGTCAAGGTACATGTTAGCAGTTATGGTTGCGGCTGCCAGGTTGGTGGGCAGGTAGTTGGAGGGGATGGTGAACAGGTAGGTGCCGGAGGGGGTGCCGTTGACCATCAGCGGAGTTGCCTCGAGGTCGCCCATGCCTTCAATCTGCTTACTCGTCCAGGAGACAGCAGAACCCCTGATGACGCATTCCAGGGGTGGAAAGGCGCAGAGGAAAGCAGTGAGCGTGCGTGATTGCAAGGGAAGCAATTAGGCCCCCAGTGAAATAACGAGGCTCTTAACGTAACAGCATATCAACAGCTATGAAACTAGGAAGCTTCCCAAGGCCCATTTTAGCACAGTCCTAATCAAATTGCACCCCGCCCACCTGAACTGCGGCTCCATGACGAGCATGAGCGTGAGGTCCTTGTCGGTGTTGTGGGGGCTGGCACACTCTGCCGCACTGCACTGCCGAGACAGGGTGCCGCGGGGGAAGGGCAGGGCGGTGGACCGGGGCTTGAAGCTGACCGAGGCGGTGGCGCTGAGGGGCGAGGCGCCCTGTGACACTGCCTTGGACACCGTCACGGTGATGGTATGCAGCACGCCGCTGGTCAGCAGGCCCGGGGCCAGCTGCCACACGCCCGGAGTGGAGGTCGAGTCGCCCTGGTCGGCACCCGTGAAGCAGGGAGCCGGGTAGTCCTCACGCCTGTTTGTACGGCAGGAAGGAGGATTAGGAAGGTGAAAGGGCAGAAGGAATCGGGGATAAAGAAACAAACAGGGAAGCCAATGCAGGCATCGTCCTTGGACCGCACCGAACCGGACATGAAGACCGATGCTTTACTCACTTGCAATCCCAGGTGTAGGAAAGGCGCTGCAGGTCGCGGGTGGTGTCCGGGTCCGACGAGGCGGTGGCATTGAACACCAGCGTGGTGTTGTCTGGCACATCACCGCTGGGGCCCGACAGCTTGGCCGAGGGCGCCGCACCCACAGCCACCATCGTCACGGTGTCAGTGCCCGCGGCCACTGCAGGGCACAGATGGGCAGCATAGGAATGAGCGTTAGCAAGTAAACCATGAAAGTTGACCCGTGGGTCAGGAGCCAGTCTCCGCCCAAAAATGACCACAATCCTCACAGCAAAATAGCTCCTTGAAACATGCTCAGGGGCTGTAAAATGTACTCACCGCCTGTCAAACCATCGTAGGAGGCAGAAACGACGAATGAAATAGCCTGGCCATGAATGGCAAGCACAGGTGGCGGCAGGTAGAGCTGCTGCGACGGGAAGCCATCCACGGGCATTCCCGACCAGCCTGATGGGGACGTCCAGAGCCAGTTCAAGGAGCGGCCTGCGAATTAAGAGTAATGGGGACAGGGTTTAATTAAGATTGGGTGAATGTTCAATTGGTGCATTCAGGAGACCGGATTAAGGAAATTAGGAGGGAGGCAGGGAGAGCATAGCAATGGCGAAGGTGATGCGGGTCCTGTTCTATGCATGTGTTGGGTCCCATGATAAGGCTGCACATATCAACCAGGTTCAAGGGGGCCGTCAGAAATGCATGAAACACAATTAGGAGGACTTACCACTGCACACTTGCCCCACAGTAGCAGACACTCGCACTCCGGATGACAGCCGGAAGGTCTGGACGGCTGGCCCCACAACCTTGACAGCCGGAGGGGCATCATCTCCAGTCTTGGCAAAGCTGAAGGTCTTGGATGCGGACGTGTTTAGCCAGGACGTCAGTGTAACCTGCAGCACATAAGCCGACTGGGGCAGCGAATTGGCCTCTGTCGTCTTGAGTGACAGAACCAGGCGGCTGTTGGGGCTGGAAACGGCGTTGGTGCGGTCGATGGCGGCCTGCAGTGTGGCACGACCGTCAGCATCTCCAGAGGAGTCGGCTAGGGACCACTGGACATTGGACCAGGTCGTGCGGCCCGAGGGGTCGTAGGAGAGCGAGGCATCGAAGGACGGCGGCACGGCCCCCGCGGCCTGCAGCAGGCTGCTACTGCTGCTGCTGTCGGTGCACGGGGTGGTGATGGCGGAGGGGCCCGCCAGAGCAACCTTGGGGGCAACACATGCGGTGCAGGAATCCACCTGAAGGGAGGGAAGGGGACAGTGTTCTTGTAATAAGTCCGACGCAAACGATAGCTCTGCATGTGATTGAGCGCAATGCGAGCAGCAAGTCACAGCGGCAGCAACATGAGATACTGGCTGCCACAACTCACCGTCACAGAGCCGGTGAAGACCAGAGTTGAATCCAGTTGCCCCACCAGGGCCGAGGTGGAGGAGGTCAGCAAGGTGAGCGAGTTCCCAGGCTGCATACAAATCATAGGGGCCACAGTAAGTTTCAATGTCAGGACAATTTTGGCAGGAATAACCCGGCACATGAACGAAGAAGAGTTAATATGCTGCGAAAAACCAGTTGACACATTAACACCACCCTTGCAACATTGCAAATAGTTAGTTCTCAGGTGGCGAACGTAAAGGAAATACCCATGACTCACCATGAGCTTCGCCGTCGGTCCCATCTTGGCGGTGAGGGTGTTGTCAGAGGTGCTGCACATTGCCGCACTCGCACCACCCAGGAGAACGGAAGACCAGCCGTCGAAGATGCGGCCGCAAGGCACAGATGACAGCTTGGCCGCGTAGGCGTTGAGGGTGACCACCACCGACTGCCCGTCATCAGAGATCTTGGCGGAAAGGGGCTTAAGACCCTTCGGCCTGCACTTGCCCTCACACGAGATAGGCACAAGCGACTGGCTCGTTGCATTGCATTGCCAGCGCTGGCAGTTGGCGACCTGCACACAAAGTTCATCATCCGCACAGCCAGTGCCGCTGCCACTGTCGGTCGGGGTGCAGGTGGAGATACCGCTGTTCAGACGCTCAAGCTGTGTAACCGTCGAGTTGAGGTCGCAGTAGCTGACACAAGTGCCAATACCGTAGCACACGTCGTTACCAGCCTCACAACCGCAGACTCGGGGTTTGACAGCCGCACTCGTGTCAAAGTAGCACACCTGCCCAGTGCCGCAGTCTGAGCGGGAAAGGCAGCTGCTGGCCGTGATGTTGGCACTTGGAAGGGTGACTCCTTGGCCACCGATTACACCCTCGGCCGTGCACAGGTCCAGGCCACCCGTCAAGGTAATTGCAGAACCATTGATGCTGGCGGCCGAGAGGCTGTAACACTTGAGGGCGGTGCTGCACACGCCCAGCTGCGCGCACATCTGACCCGCGCGGGCGGCGATCTGAGTGGTGCCATCCATGATCGCCACGGCAATGTTGTTGCAGGCAGCGGTCGGGAACTGGTTTTGGCTGCAAACGCTGAGGAAGGCAGTTGCTGTGGCTGCCGTATCCACACTGGGGGAAGCCCTAGCGGCGGCTTGAGCAGCGAAAGGTGCGAGGATGCTGAGGCAAGCTTGGCAGTCGACACAGGGGTCCCGCGGGGCGGGAGGAGGGCGTGATGGGGGAGAAGGTGCGATGGTAGGCGGGGAAGGCGGGAAAGGTGATGGGGGCCGCGGCTTGGGAGGACGGGGGGGCGACGGAGGAGTTGGTGAAGGAGGCGAGGGGGGAACGGGCGAGGGAGGCGAGGGAGGGGTAGGTGGGGGGGACGGAGGAAGAGGTGAGGGGGGATCGGGTGATGGAGGGTTGGGAGGAGAAGGGAAGGGCGAGGGTGGCAGAGGAGAAGGAGGATCAGGAGAAGGAGGCGGTGGTGAAGGAGGTAGTGGTGAAGGGGGCAGTGGTGAAGGAGGCAGTGGACTTGGCGGTAGTGGGCTGGGAGGGAGTGGGCTCGGTGGTAAAGGGCTTGGCGGCAGTGGGCTCGGTGGTAAAGGGCTTGGCGGCAGTGGGCTTGGCGGCAATGGGCTGGGTGGCAGCGGGCTCGGAGGGTCAGGGCTGGGTGGTGGACTTGGTGGGAAGGGACTAGGAGGTGGTGGGCTCGGAGGAAGCGGGCTGGGTGGAAGAGGGCTTGGAGGGAATGGGCTTGGAGGGAGGGGGCTCGGAGGGTCTGGACTGGGAGGCGGACTTGGCGGGAGGGGACTAGGGGGATCAGGGCTCGGAGGAGGCGGGCTCGGAGGCAACGGGCTCGGAGGAGGGGGGCTTGGAGGGAGGGGGCTCGGAGGGTCTGGACTGGGAGGCGGACTTGGCGGGAGGGGACTAGGGGGATCAGGGCTCGGAGGAGGCGGGCTCGGAGGCAACGGGCTCGGAGGAGGGGGGCTTGGAGGGAGGGGGCTCGGAGGGTCTGGACTGGGAGGCGGACTTGGCGGGAGGGGACTAGGGGGATCAGGGCTCGGAGGAGACGGGCTCGGAGGCAACGGGCTCGGAGGAGGGGGGCTTGGAGGGGGTGACGGGGGCGGTGATGGAGGTGGCGACGGTGGTGGAGAAGGCGGTGGGCTGGGTGGAGGTGACGGTGGCGGGTCGGGTGGTGGGGAAGGTGGCGGGGAGGGTGGTGGAGAGGGTGGCGGAGAGGGTGGTGGAGAAGGTGGTGGTGAAGGTGGCGGGGAAGGCGGTGGGCTAGGCGGAGGCGGGTCGGGTGGTGGAGATGGTGGTGGCGATGGTGGCGGAGAGGGTGGAGGCGATGGTGGCGGCGATGGTGGCGGCGAGGGCGGTGGTGAAGGCGGAGGAGAAGGTGGTGGGGAAGGTGGCGGGGATGGTGGGGGTGAGGGTGGCGGGTCCGGAGGTGGGGACGGCGGGGGCGAGGGTGGGGGCGAAGGCGGTGGCGATGGTGGGGGAGAAGGAGGGGGATCCGGTGGTGGGGAGGGCGGCGGTGAGGGTGGGGGAGAAGGAGGGGGATCCGGTGGTGGGGAGGGCGGCGGTGAGGGTGGGGGAGAAGGAGGGGGATCCGGTGGTGGGGAGGGCGGCGGTGAGGGTGGGGGCGAAGGCGGCGGACTGGGTGGTGGTAAGGGTGGAGGACTTGGCGGGGGCGAAGGAGGGGGGTCAGGTGGCGGGGAAGGAGGCGGTGATGGTGGGGGTGATGGTGGGGGTGATGGTGGCGGGTCCGGAGGTGGGGACGGCGGTGGCGAGGGTGGCGGCGAAGGCGGTGGCGATGGTGGGGGAGACGGAGGGGGATCCGGTGGTGGGGAGGGTGGCGGTGAGGGTGGTGGAGAAGGAGGGGGGTCCGGTGGTGGGGAGGGCGGCGGTGAGGGTGGCGGCGAGGGTGGGGGAGAAGGCGGTGGACTAGGTGGCGGTGAGGGTGGAGGACTTGGCGGAGGTGAAGGAGGGGGGTCGGGTGGCGGGGAAGGAGGCGGCAACGGTGGGGGAGAAGGAGGGGGGTCGGGCGGCGGGGAAGGAGGGGGTGATGGTGGCGGGTCCGGAGGTGGGGACGGCGGTGGCGAGGGTGGCGGCGAAGGCGGTGGCGATGGTGGGGGAGAAGGAGGAGGGTCCGGTGGTGGGGAGGGCGGCGGTGAGGGTGGTGGAGAAGGAGGGGGGTCCGGTGGTGGGGAGGGCGGCGGTGAGGGTGGCGGCGAGGGTGGGGGAGAAGGCGGTGGACTAGGTGGGGGTGAGGGTGGAGGACTTGGCGGAGGTGAAGGAGGGGGGTCAGGTGGCGGGGAAGGAGGCGGCAACGGTGGGGGAGAAGGAGGGGGGTCGGGCGGCGGGGAAGGAGGGGGTGATGGTGGCGGGTCCGGAGGTGGGGACGGCGGCGGCGAGGGTGGAGGCGAAGGCGGTGGCGATGGTGGGGGAGAAGGAGGAGGGTCCGGTGGTGGGGAGGGCGGCGGTGAGGGTGGTGGAGAAGGAGGGGGGTCCGGTGGTGGGGAGGGCGGCGGTGAGGGCGGTGGGGATGGAGGCGGGTTGGGCGGTGGGGAAGGAGGGGGCGAGGGCGGCGGGTCGGGTGGTGGGGAAGGCGGCGGGTCAGGTGGGGGAGAAGGTGGGGGAGAAGGTGGCGGAGAAGGTGGAGGATCAGGCGGCGGTGAGGGTGGGGGTGAAGGCGGCGGTGAGGGTGGGGGAGAAGGCGGCGGTGAGGGTGGGGATGGTGGCAGGTCCGGCGGGTCAGGTGGGGGCGACGGAGGTGGTGACGGTGGGGGAGAAGGTGGCGGGTCTGGAGGCGGGGAGGGTGGGGGAGAAGGTGGCGGAGAAGGTGGAGGATCAGGCGGCGGTGAGGGTGGGGGTGAAGGCGGCGGTGATGGTGGGGGAGAAGGCGGCGGTGAGGGTGGGGATGGTGGCAGGTCCGGCGGGTCAGGTGGGGGCGACGGAGGTGGTGACGGTGGGGGAGAAGGCGGCGGGTCTGGAGGCGGGGAGGGTGGGGGAGAGGGTGGCGGGGAAGGAGGCGGGTCCGGAGGTGGTGATGGTGGGGGAGAGGGTGGCGGGGATGGAGGTGGGTCAGGAGGTGGTGATGGTGGGGGAGAGGGTGGCGGGGATGGAGGTGGGTCCGGAGGTGGTGATGGTGGGGGAGAGGGTGGCGGGGATGGAGGTGGGTCCGGAGGTGGTGATGGTGGGGGAGAGGGAGGCGGGGATGGAGGTGTGTCCGGAGGTGGTGAGGGCGGGGGAGAGGGCGGCGGGGATGGAGGTGGGCTTGGCGGGTCCGGTGAGCTGGGTGGTGACGGTGGCGGTTGGTCAGGCGGAACGGCTCCGCCCGCTGCATTTAAGGAACGAGAGATGATCGCGAAGGTCAGCATGAGCATGAACAGAAGAGAATACAGGCTACGAACGGCATGTTTAAATCACCGTCAACGAAAGTGGAACGCAATATTTCGCATGGGAAACCAGCAAGCGGGGATTGGTGAAAGCGCCGAACTTCAGGCAGTATTGTCTATTAGGCATTAATCCGGTAATGCTTTAGCGCCAGACGTTCAGCATGGCTAATCCGAAAGGCTAGTCCGTTAATTGAAAGCCTCCGGCAAGCGCGCAACGTAACGCAACCCTTGCAAAGCTACCAATGCAATGCTTTTTAAAAAGAGCAAATGACGTGCCACGGAAGGCTTACAGCTCCAATGACCGACCTGGAGCCGCCCAAGGAGCCCCCAACTCCTTTGGCGCAACTACCCGCAGAACTCACCTAGCATCCGGTCTCGAAAAACATAGGCGCCCTTCGTAACAACGGTAGAGGCCGCGGTGTGCCGACATGCCGTCGATATAAGGAACGCCAGCAGCAAGAGCGCGCCGCGCATGTTTGGCGTAGTCACCTTATAGTTTATTGATAAGCATCCTGTTAAGTATGCAAGCGCACATAGGAGCTATTAAGCTACACGTCAGGTTCTTGCGAACTTCAGGCTGAAGCACGACTTTGCTTACCCAAGGACAAATGATCACAAGTAAAAGCAAAGCCAATAGCAAGGTTACGGTGACAAATGACTAGCGTATGGACTTCAGTGCTAGGACCAGGTTACCGAGGTTACACAGGACTTGTTGTATGCGCAAATCACACAAGAAAGCAGTACTGAAACCGTGAAGCTTATAAGCTAAGCTAGGCGACTGGACTAGTGAAATGCGAGCAAAGAGCCTCCCATCGTACGGAAGGCATTCGCCTCATCGGCCCATGGCAGACGGGCGTTCCGTTGTGTACTGCACTACGTTCCTTCGCGTTCAAATATAAATAACGAAAACAAGCAGCAAATATCTGCACATGCTTAGGCCATGGCCGTTCGGATCCACGTTGCACACCGCCTAACCTCGCCCTTGCAGTAATTGTGTGTCCATAGTGCTTTGGTGGGGGTCAAAAGGGTCTCTGGGGCTTGTAAGGGCTGCCCGCCTGAGCACGAGGGCCTATTTCGGTCGCATGGGTAGCTTCGGATACCGAATTTCTGTTTCGGGAACTTCGGTACGACCCGAACTCTCCGAAGCGTTTGCCGATGTTGCAACAGTTAGGGTAGCTGAACAGCAGTGTCTTGGCTATATGCTGAATTTTTTTGGCAAGTACTGTATCGCATGGTCCCGCGACGGAAGGTCGGAAGCTGTGTGTGCAGTACTTCATGTGCCGTCTAGGGCCTTTGAGGGGAAACTGAACTTGGCCTTTACCGGTGCAGGTGGAAAGATATGTCAAACTGTCAAGGACTCGACACACGTGTTCCGGTATAAAGCACAGAGGCAAATCGGCGAAGCGTGACTCGCCGCCGGGGTCCTTGATATCTCCTATGAAGTATATGTATCCCGTTGTCCAGGAGTACTTAATTACGTAGCTCTTGTGGGTGCGTAGTCTATGCATCCCAGGAGTGTAAGCAGGAAGCCTAAAGAACCAACAAAAGCTCGGTTTGAAGCGGACCTATAGGAAAATGCCCTCCATGCCAGGTGACTGTCTACCTGCAATATGGGTCAGACGCCCCCCTTGCCGTCCTCACAGGGTGAAGCCCTTCATGTGGGGCGGCGGGGATATTGACCCAAACGGCAAGCCGCTTGAACTAGGACACAAGTAATGCTAACGGCCAAGCCACTCATTGACTTAATACGACGGCTGTTGCCGTAGTTGCTAGGAGTGTTGCCGCACCTGAAAGCACCGTTGCAAAGGTAGCGCTGTTAAGGTAAAGACTTGATGGGCTAATGTGCCGAGGTAAGGCTGGGGTAAGTTCTTAAATGACTTGACATGACAGGGAAGCGGTACGTAGCAACCGCACGTGCACTACCCTCTTTGACACCCCGCTGAACCCAGCGTGCATTGGTACTTTCTGTTCTCCATAAAGGGGTTATGATATATTCCAACGACATCCCTGTAGCAGGGCGAAACCGTCTTACTCAGCAAGTCAGCATGGCATGGACCCCCAAGGTCTTGCATGTATACTAGGTCTGGGCCGGGTGTGCCCAGCAGCTACACTTGCTGTATTGTCCCAATCGCATGATTCATGTCTCCGGGCTCTTGCTCGGTGCCTTGCCCAACTTCTTTCCGACGCGCCCCGCCCCACCCCTCGCCCGTTCTCCACCGTTCACACCCAAACAAGCGCACACACCGGCCAACAACCCAGCCGTGGTTCCCTTTTGCCCTCGCCCGCAAGCTGGCGCCTGGAACAACCAAACGCGCATATAACCTACCCTTGCAAAGCCTGGCGACTGCATACCTGTAAGATGGGTCGGACGTCAATGGCCCTGGGTCCGCCTGGCGCTCTGGTTACGGTTAAGATCCAGCGCCTCCATCTGCCCCAGCGTCCTATGCCGCCCCATTGTCCGCCGCCGGACAAGCTGGCGTACGCTACGTGGCACCAGCCGCCAGCAAGCTGACAGTGTATGGCAGCAGCGCCACCGTGACGGCCTGTTAGGTAGGCCCGCCGCTGATTGGGAAGTACGCGGCGGCACCCTCGCGGACGCAGATGAACTGGTCGGGTACACCAGCCGCAGCGGAGGGACGCTGGCGGACGCGAGCGGCGGCTGCAGCACCTCAGCACCAGCAGCCCCTTCCGTCCACTGCCGAGGTAGCCGGGGCGGCGCTTCAGCGCCTGACTGCCCCCGGTCCGGCATCACGCTACATGCTGCTGCAGGGCTCCTATTTCAGTGCGCAGAACGAGCTGCGCAAGCCAACGGGACGCACTGCACCTGGCACCGCCGGGGTCTGCAAGCTCGCCAGGGCCGAGCCCACCAAGCGGCCAACGGCGCTTGGAAGGAGCGACCTTCAACGCAGGCTCAGTACTGTGATGATTTCGCCGAGCGCACATGTGTGTCGGCATCCTTCAAGGCCTCCACTGCTGAAGGGCTGGCAGGAGGGGGTTTGGGCTGGGGCGCATGGGATCAATGTTTGGCGGAATTGGCTGCACCGGACGGCATAGGAGGTTGCGACCGACACCAGCGGGACAGCTGAGGTGGCGCCCTACACGGGGGAAGCCAGCGCATGGCCATTACCAGTAGGACCCGGCACGAGCGGCAACTGGCATGTGGCTGCCGCCGCCGCAACAGGCCAGGAGCCCCTAGGGGCCGCCGCTGCCAGTCTGCAGGGGCCCTCCAGCGAGGGCGGCAGGGCCGGCGCTGCTTCCCACAGCACACGCACAGCACCTTGTGGGTGCTCCGTCACCACCAGTGAGAAGGCGTAGTTGGTGGTGATGCGGCAAGTTCGAGGTGCGGTGTTAGTATGTCTTAATGAAGCCAAGGATGGGCCATATTTGTGCTCCTCAAACATATGTGAAGGCCAGGTTTGCCCAGATTATCACACACTGGCAACAAGAGTGGCACATGCGTACCTCTTCCGAAGGGATGCCAGTGTCGGGACCAGATTGTAAACATCCCATGCGGCTCTCCCCTTATGTAGGACAGAATGTGTGCTTTGCAAGTTTTCTCATATTCCGCTTTCTATCTGTCTTCCACGGGGCAAATGTTGTGCCGGCAACGTGTAGGCAACAGCCGAACGACCCATGGGTCATTGTGCCTGTCAGCCCACTCCCCGTGCTACCTTACAAGTATGCGTCTCTCTCTATATATATGCATCATGCGCATCCCGAACTGAGTAAAATATGCATTGCACTTCCCCCGCAGCCCCTTTTCCCGACTTGCATATTCGTGTATGTGCGCTGGCACCTTTTCGCTCCCCTCGTGACACTCCCCTCAGGCCGTCAAGTGAATAGCATAGCATACGCCTACAGATTTATATGAGGCAATAGACTGCCCGTTGCTCGGGAGTAACATGTCAAACGCTTTGTAATCAACCAAGAAGGCCCCAGTCGAAAGCTTATCTCAGCTCAAAGATTGCCCTTCCACGGCCCTGTACATAATCCTCACATTAATTCCTCTTAAGCACATTATGTACAGTTAGACGCAAACCACCAGCCAAACAACTAACGATTGATAAAGCCATCTTCGAGGGGCCCCCACTTTCCTGTAAATACATGCTTAACGTCTGCCAACGATAAGTGGTCAGTCACTTTGTGGTTCCCAACGTGGGCGTCCATTTGATCATATGCACAAGTCACAGGCTCAGCATGGCACCCCTACCCTAGACTAAGAGCCGCAAAATCATCAGGCTCAACCAGTGCACAATCCGCGTTGATCATCAGCGTTTTGTAATGGTGACAACGCACATGCACAGTATTCGCGCAGACTGCAAATGCCCGCTTGCCCGGTAGGAGGGGCTGTAGCGCTGCTGCTTAGGAGCTATGGACAGAGGATAGAAATGAGGGGCAAAGCGGTGGCTCATATGTAAACTGCTGCCAAGAACAAAAACATACGCAACCTGCGGTGCTCGGCTGGGTATAACCCAGTAGCCACAACGCTGATTCCTATGCCAACTAGCCCAAGGAAAACCAGTGGGAACGAATCCATAAAACCCCCAGAACGACACATAGCGGAAACCGCTTCTTTCCCGAGACGATTTGATCCAGAGCGAAAGCATTTCATATTCCTTAGCTTCGACAAAGAGGATGTCGCCTAGAGAAACCAGCAGTGGTAGTTTTTAACCTGAAGCAGTTGACCGTTGTTTTGTTCTCCCAACATGAGCAAGCGTCCCTAAAAGAAGCAAGACACTAAGCAACCATCGTAAAGGCATGGAAATGCACAACCGTGGTCTGCGCTTACAACCCAATCATGTTGTATGCCCAAGAGAAATCTGGCCCAGCAACTAACAAGCTGCAGCGGAGGCAGTAGCCGTACAAAGTATTTCACGCCCTGCTGTCGAAAGAGAGTACAAAGCTTTAATCAAGCGCTCATCCTACCCACCAGCCAGCTACCCTTTTGCCCTACTTGCCTTGCCTTACTCCTCCTGGCCCACACTGATAACAGGCAGCAGCTCGCTTGGCTTGTCGATTGCAGCCGGGGTGCGTGCTTTCAGCTCCTTCAAAGATCCCGAGGAGCGGAGGTTCCTTGCAGATGTACGAGGCGATATCATGACCGTAGAAGGGGCGGCAGCCGCCGTAATTCCTCCCGGCGTGTGCGGCAAATACACTTCCACAGGGTCGCTGTCGGTGTCGTCCGCAGGCACGCATGATGCGGACTGCCGAGGAGTGCTGTATGCGAGCACATACGAGTTGGACTGCCGCGGGGTGGCATAGCCTGATGGAGGCCGGGAGGGCATTCGTGACTCCGCAGTTGGCCGGGGCCCAGTGCTGGTGGTGGCCAAACCAGCCGCAGCACCAGCGGAGGGGGCGGCAGCAGGAGCAGCAGCAACAGGGCCAGGAGGTGGTGGTGGTGGTGATGCAGCAGCAGCCGGGGCAGGCGTGGGTGAAGCAGCAGAAGCCGCAGGAGGAGCAGCAGCAGTGCCCGTGATATCGGCAGCCGGGCCCACGTCAGTGTGGGCGGTGGGTGTCACTACAGTGCGACTCTCCTGTCGCTTCTTGCGGATCATAACGACCGCCACCACCACCGCCAGGACTGCCGCACCGCCCACCACGGCACCGGCCACGGGGGCTGCAACAGTCACCTCCTTTTTACCATTGCTGTCCGTCTTAGGGGACGGTGATGGGGACTCGCTTCCGCTGGACTGTTCGCGACCATCCGGGGGCGGCGGCGGGTTGCTGACGGATCCGAGTCCACCCGGCGGTGTCGAGGGGGCTGGCGGGGGGCTGAGCGCCGTGCCCTGGGCAACAACGTAGATGCCCTCAGCGGTGACACGGCAGGTGACGAGGCTGCTGGCTGCGCTGTGCTTGACAAAGGAAGATGGGAAGGCGCTGGCAGCAAGACCCTGCAGTCCACCAGTCAGGGTGTTGGTGGTTTCGTCGAAAGACAAGCAGACGGTCGCCTTGGTTGGGTCATAGTTGGAGACGGGGATCTTGAGTTGGATGTAGTTGGTGGTTCCGTCCAGGGAGGGCGGGGAGGCAGCGGCACTGCTCGACACAGCGCTCCAAGTCACGCTGACCATGCTGCTCTGCAGGGAAGCATCCGACGGCAGAGAGCTGCCAAACGCTGACTTGACAATCGCAGCGGCGTCAGAAAGGTAGGATAGGCCAAGGCTGTAGCCGTCAGCCTGAGAGGCGGCGGCGCCGGAAAGAACCAAGTCCGCAGTGCTGCTTTGCGACACTGAACTGCCGCCGCTGCTAGTTGTCGAGTCCACGCCAGCACGCAGGCTGAGGGAGGCAGTGGCGGAGGAGCCGCTGCCCATGACGTTTACAGCTCCTGCCGCCACGTACACTCCGCCGCCCTCCACGGTCAGGTAGTTGCCGCCGGGTGTGGCCTGCATGCCCAGGGAGTCTGCCATCATGGCCGTGAGGGACAGCGTCTGCTTGACCCACTCCAGGGCGGTGACGGAGGAGACGTCTAGCAGCCGCCTGGCAGCAGTGGCGGTGGTGGCAGGGGCGGTGGCGTTCAGCAATGTGATGATTTGCAGGCAGAAGACCTTGGTGATGGTGGTGCCGCTGCCACCCGCATCAACCACGGTGTTCATGATGGAGACAGCGCCGGCCAAGATGGTGCTCTTGGCGGTCTCAGTGAGCCGACCAGCAGCACTACCAACTGTGTTGGCGATGGAGGAGAGAGCCAGGGAGGCCTGCGTTGAGGGGTAAGCGGAAAGGGGCATTCGTCGGAGTGTCAGTCCGGCGTGCAAAGAGCGGCGCGAGCTGCAGAATATCATTGGACATGACACAAGTGATCGGTAGGGTACGGCCCCTTCTCACTGTCACGCCATTCGTAAAGGGAATGAAGATTACATATGCAAACGGGTCATCTCAAAGCATGCGGGGCATCAAAGATCACGCTCACCTGGTCAGGGTCCTGGAAGTTAGCGTTCGCCAAAATCGATGAGACCACAGCCACGGTTTGGTCCGAGGCCACTTCAGCCGCCGTCTGCGCAACCAGCCGCCGTCTTGAGCTGCCGCTAGTGCTGCCCATGTACGCCATGAGCAGGGACATCTGGTTCGCCGCTTGGAGCAACGACCCGAGGTCGTTCGACTGCATTTGCAGTGTAAGTGCGGCAAGGCAACAAAACGTGTTTCAGCAACAGCCCCATGTAATCCGGTTGCTGGACTTAGTATAGGGACTGCATCAAGCCACCAGACAAAGCTAAAGGCAGCAAAGGGGATAACAAGGAAGCCACCTACAGTAAGCCGTATACAGTAAGATAGCAAGGAATCCAGCTGTAATAAGCCATACCTGGCTCAAGGCGTCCATGTCAATAGTTGACAGCATAGCTGCGGCATCAAAGCCGGCGCCTGGCGGATTAATGGTTACAACAGCCGTCCCACATCTGCGGACGCCCTGGCTGTCCTTGGCGCAACCGTATACGGTAACGTCCCCTTGCGGCAGTGCGATAATGTTAGCTGAAGTTAGGACGCTCAGTTGCTGCGGCCGGTCCTCAGTTCCCGTCGAGGTGGCGACACGCACACCAAACTCGTAGGTCAGCTGTGAGTCCTGCGCGTCCGACCAGCCCTGAGCGCGCACGGAGGCGACGGCGGTGGGGAAGGTGCTGGAGGTGAGCTCGACGCTGAGGCAGGCCGAGTTATCGTCGGTGTCGCTGAGGGTGCAGGCGGGCGCGGAGTTGAGGGGCACGGTGACCATGGCTGAGCCGTCCAGGCCGTTGAGGAGCATCTTGGCGGTGATGGTTGCGGCCGCCAGGTTGGTGGGCAGGTAGGCGGAGGGGATGGTGAGCAGGTAGGTGCCGGAGGGGGAGCCGTCTGTGAGGGTCGCGGCGGTCGCTTTGATGGCGCTGATGTCGTCGATCTCAGCACTGGACCAGGTGACAGCAGCGGTCCTGCGTTTGCAGCAGCAATAATGGGAACAAGGAGCTCAAGGAATGGCAAATAAAGCGCCTGTATGTTAAGTGCATGAAAGGGCCCACACAACGATGATTGCCCAAAACAGTTGCGGATGTGGGCAGCATATGGCAGCAGCCTCAGCATCCCTTCCACCCAGCATCAGTGTAGGGCCTGACCCCGCCATGCGCATGTGCTTGCCCACCTGAACTGCGACTCCATGACGAGCATGAGCGTGAGGTCCTTGTCGGTGTTGTGGGGGCTGGCACACTCTGCCGCACTGCACTGCCGAGACAGGCTGCCGCGGGGAAAGGGCAGGGCGGTGGACCTGGGCTTGAAGCTGACCGAGGCGGTGGCGCTGAGGGGCGAGGCGCCCTGCGACACTGTCTTGGACACCGTCACGGTGATGGTGTGCAGCACGCCGCTGGTCAGCAGGCCCGGGGCCAGCTGCCACACGCCGGGAGAGGAGGTCGAGTCGCCCTGGTCGGCACCCGTGAAGCAGGGAGCCGGGTAGTCCTCACGCCTGAATAGCAGGACGGAGTGGACAACGGTTAAAAGACGTTGAGTGTAGTGAACCAGCCTATGCCTAGCCTGGTGAGCCCACCATGTCCTAATTTTCACAACGGACTGCAACGCAGCACACTTCACCTACTTGCAATCCCAGGTGTAGGAAAGGCGCTGCAGGTCGCGGGTGGTGTCCGGGTCCGACGAGGCGGTTGCGTTTAACACCAGCGTGGTATCGTCAGCCACGTCACCGCTGGGGCCCGACAGCTTGGCCGAGGGCGCCGCACCCACAGCCGTCATCGTCACGGTGTCAGTGCCCGCGGCCACTGCAGGGCACAGGAGGGCATGCAGCATAAGAGCGAGAGTGAAGATGCAAATCGTTGAAGGTGACCCGTGGGTCCGAAGCCAGTCTTCAACTGACCCAACAGCCACCTAGCCGATCACGCACCGTTTGCCAAGCCATTATATGCTGCAGAAACGACGAATGAAATGGTCTGGCCATGAATGGCAAGCACAGGTGGCGGCAGGTAGAGCTGCTGCGACGGGAAGCCATCCAGGGGCATTCCCGACCAGCCTGATGGGGACGTCCAGAGCCAGTTCAAGGAGCGGCCTGCGAATTAAGAGTAATTAAGTACTATTTAATGTGCGTTGGGGATAACAAAAGCAGCTGGGGTGGATTGCGGATATTGAACGGGGGCAAGGTTCGCATGCAGTCCAGCATGCCATATCAGGATAAAGACAAGTCAAGAGAAGGCAGGGAGAGGGAGAACAAAGCAATTGCAAAGGCGTAACCATGAGCGTCACGCCGTGCATGTGCAAGATCCTATGCTCCAGATGCGCACTTAGTTGCAGCAATCGTAGAAGCCGTTGCACAAACTACGGGTTGAGGCGCAAGAGGTAGAGGGCCAGCAAATTGCCGTTATCTAAAACCGAAACCCAATCAGGAGGACTTACCACTGCACACTTGCCCCACAGTAGCAGACACTCGCACTCCGGATGACAGCCGGAAGGTTTGGACGGCTGGCCCCACGATCTTTACAGCCGGAGGGGCGTCTGCCCCCGCCTTGGCAAAGCTGAAGGTCTTGGATGCGGACGTGCCCAGCCAGGACGTCAGGGTAGCCTGCAGCACGTACGTCGACTCGGGCAGCGAATTGGCCTCGGTGGTCTTGAGTGACAGAACCAGGCGGCTGTTGGGGCTGGAAACGGCGTTGGTGCGGTCGATGGCGGCCTGCAGTGTGGCACGACCGTCAGCAGACCCCGAGGAGTCGGCCAGGGACCACTGGACATTGGACCAGGTCGTGCGGCCCGAGGGGTCGTAGGAGAGCGAGGCATCGAAGGACGGCGGCACGGCCCCCGCGGCCTGCAGCAGGCTGCTACTGCTGCTGCTGCTATCGGTGCACGGGGTGGTGATGGCGGAGGGGCCCGCCAGAGCAACCTTGGGGGCAACACATGCGGTGCAGGAATCCACCTGAATGGAGAGAAGGGGGCAGCACTGTTAGCAATGGTGGCAAGCGGCTATTCGAGTTGACACTGCCAAATGTGACAGCAATCATGCAGCTCATCAACATCACGGGGCGTAAATGGGCTGAACAGCCACCGCGGCAGCAACGTTGTGACTGCCCCAACTCACCGTCACAGAGCCGGTGAAGACCAGAGTTGAGTCCACTTGTCCCACCAGGGCCGAGGTGGAGGTCAGCAAGGTCAGCGTGTTCCCAGGCTGCATGCGGAGGAGAGGCAAAGGGGGGGGTCAGGACTAGCAGCAGGCTAGGTAGCTCGTGCTGGCTAGGGACGCGCACCGCAACATGGAAGGATTTGGAAACCAATACGGTGGGGAAGGTCAGTGCCGTATAGGTATGCACGACAGGAGGTATGTAGTTGGGATCACATTCAGTGAGCTGAGCCTTCTCTCACAAACCACCACCTAGTATATTGAACGACGGAGGCTGGGAACAGCCAAGGAAGCTGGAGGAGGATGCAGGGCAAGAATGGACTCACCATGAGCTTCGCCGTCGGTCCCATCTTGGCGGTGAGGGTGTTGTCGGAGGTGCTGCACATTGCCGCACTCGCACCACCCAGGAGAACGGAAGAGGCGGCGTCGAAGATACGGCCGCAAGGTACCGATGACAGTTTGGTGGCGTAGGCGTTGAGGGTGACCACCACCGACTGCCCGTCATCAGAGATCTTGGCAGAAAGGGGCTTGAGGTCCTTCGGCCTGCACTTGCCCTCACACGAGACGGGCACAAGCGACTGGCTCGCTGCATTGCATTGCCAGCGCTGGCAGTTGGCGACCTGCACACAAAGTTCATCATCCGCACAGCCAGTGCCGCTGCCACTGTCGGTCGGGGTGCAGGTGGAGATACCGCTGTTCAGGCGCTCAAGCTGTGTAACCGTCGAGTTGAGGTCGCAGTAGCTGACACAAGTGCCGATATCGTAGCACACGTCGCTACCAGCCTCACAGCCGCAGACGCGGGGCTTGACAGCCGCGCTCGTGTCAAAGTAGCACACCTGCCCACTGCCGCAGTCTGAGCGGGAACGGCAGCTGCTGACCGTGATGTTGGCACTTGGAAGGGTGACCTTCTTTCCGCCAGTCACGCCCTCAGCCGCGCACAAGTCCAGGCTGCCTGTCAGATTGGTCCTAGGGGTGTTGATGCTGGCGGCCGTGAGGCTGTAACACTTGAGGGCGGTGCTGCACACGCCCAGCTGCGCGCACAGCTGACCCGCGCGGGCGGCGATCTGAGTGGTGCCATCCATGATCGCCACGGCAATGTTGTTGCAGGCAGCGGTCGGGAACTGGTTTTGGTTGCAAACGCTGAGGAAGGCATTTGCTGAGGCTGCTGCCGCGGCGCCAACAGCCGGGGCGGCCTTAGCGGCTGCCTGAGCAGCGATGGGGCCGAGGGCGTTGAGGCATGCTTGGCAGTCGACACACAGGTCCCGAGGAGGGGGGGGCGGCGGTGACGGCGGGGAGGGTGCGATGACAGGAGGGAAGGGTGGGGAAGGTGCCGGGGGACGAGGCTTGGGAGGACGTGGAGGTGATGGAGGAGTGGGAGAAGGAGGCGCAGGAGAGGGAGGTGTTGGCGGAGAAGGAGGCGCAGGAGAGAGAGGAGTTGAAGGAGGAGGAGGCGCAGGTGAGGGAGGAGTTGAAGGAGGATGAGGGGCAGGTGAGGGGGGAAGTGAAGGAGAAGGCGATCGTGGGGATGAAGGAGGTTGAGCTGGAGGAGGGGATGGAAATTCATAACCAGGGTAGGTAGGTGGTGAAGGAGATGGCGGTTGCTTTGCTGTCGGCATGCCCACAGGGGGTGGAGAAAGGCCGCCCGCTGGTGCCGGTGGAGGAGAGGCTACAGGCATGGTAGCTGTCGCGGTGGAAACTGCTTGGGCACAGAAGTACGAGGATAGGGGTTGCAATGCCACTGGTTGATAATTACGTCGCACGCAATACGTCGTCAGGCTACATTCTTGAAAATGCAACCATGTACATTGAAACTTAAGTTATACAACTAAAGCGTAAGAGTGTGCTTATGCGTGGCCGGTAAGGATGCGACAGCCTACGGTTGCTTCAGCGGCGGTCAGGTGACCGCTTATGGGCAAGTTGCAACTGAAATCAGAGTATGGGGTGACACATGAGATTTTGAAAGTAATGATCGCCACAAAGTTGTATAAGCCGCATGCGGCAGCCATTGTACTTCAAGCCCTCGGACGCTGACAGCCCGCATGGATGAGCGACTTAAGGTCTCATATCACGCCTTTCACAGATCTGAATGCCAGCACCATTGCTTACCTGCTGTTGCTGTTAGGTGACGCGCTGGTACCGCCTGCAGTCTGTCCTCATCAAGAAAAGAGGCAGCGGACAACTGACATGACGTCGACGCAAGAACCGCTAGAAGCAAGAACGCGCCTCGCATCTTTGGCGTAGTTTGAACGCCTATAAAGATACAATATTACGGCCTCCTGAAGAATTGTAGAGGCGCGGTGTAGGAAAACCGGCGTCAATGCTCGTAGCAAAGGTTAAAAACGCAAGAAAGTCCTTACCCAAGGATTGTGAAGGGTTCGGCAGGCTTTAAGCACAGGCGCGGTTGTGCTCCTTGAAAGCTAGAGATGTGACATCCACCAACCGAGATGGTTATGTAAAACCTATAGCAAACGGCAACTAGTGTGTTTAATCTACACCTGTGGTGTACAAAGCGCTCTATTAATAAAACCAGATCCTGTGTATTCTATAAGAACTGGCGAATTGGTATACAGTAGGCTGGTCGCCTTCCGTACGGCAACATAACTATGGCAGACGGACAGCACAAACGTACTTCGAGTCGCATCGAATCGCAAGGTACATCGCCAGAAATGTTTGAGAGAGCTATCCAGCTTGACGTTTTGCTGAAACATGGAAAACGGGCAGTTGCAGGCTGCGCACAAATGCCCTGAAAATCCCATAGCGACGCCCAGCAACTGGCGAAACATAACATATCGCTCTTCTCTAATTGAGTCTTCCTATTCACTTGCGGTGAGGCTGCGCTAATGATCGTATTGTGGCCGATGAAATACCAAGCTTTCTCTGAGCCCAACGAAACGTTGTTTACAACCCGGACGACCTGAGCGAGCATAAATTACAGCCTTTTAAATATTGTATAGCTTGCCAGTCCTTAAAGGGCGGACTCGATGATTCTCACCCGGTAAACCGATGCCCCTAGCGTTCTTTGTTCGTACCCTCAAGCCGTCCCCACGTATGGACGTGCGCCGTAGCATGTCGGCCACCACCACGACAAGGAACCGCTGTGGGGAGGTGCAGAAGTTTGAATGAGGAACAGACGGTTTCAAAACCGCAACGAATAGGTTAATTGTTAGTACTACCAACTGTAAGGCCCCATCGGGAGTGGAGAAGGTAAGCCGCAGTTGGGGATTTCCGATACCTTTTTGCTGCTATACTGTTGATGGCCGCTAACTGCTACCGGTACCATGTCCGGGACTCGGGCGGCATATGGGCGTAGAGTGCTCGGCGCCTTTGCCGAGAAGGCCAGCGTGCGGTTGATGGCGTCACTAAATTGCTGCTGCTGGAGACGGGGCATGCCATCAATTTATATGGCTAGCGGCCCTTCCTGGTCTGCCGCTGACCCCTTCTTTGGTCCATGTAAGGACAGCAACATGGTGCCATGGCGGCCAGCTGTGCCAAGACTGCTACAGCAACCTGCATGAAGGATGCATGCATAACATGCCACCATTAAGCCAGGGCAGCAGCCCCTCCCACCCGGGCCCGGGGGCGGATGCTGCCCACCACCCTGCCGCCATTCCCGCTCCCGCCAGCCAGCCTGCATCCTGGTCCAACCTCCACTCCCGCCGGCACAAGTCACGACCCGCTGCCCCCTGTTCCGTGCGGACACGGGCTTCGCAGCGCCTTACACGGCAATGCGGCACCTACGCGGCTAACATCGCCCAAACATGTTCGTATCGCCCATGCCTAGGGGATAGCACCCGGACACGACGTACGCACTCGTGCCGCAGTGCACCTCTCTCGTGAGCCGATGCGGATGATCGTCACTAGTTAAGCTGCACTGCTCAGTTGCTGCAGCACCCATGCCTCTCACAGCTCCAGCGCACATGGCGCACACCGCCGCACCCAAACACTCCCACCGGTACTGCACATCTGACACGGCTGGTCGCTGATCATCAGGGTGATCTTACCACCAAACTGCGGTGTGCTAGTTGTTTCTTCCATAACCTACACCGGTTAGGCTTCCAAGCTTCTAAACCAAAACTCCTCACCACACCGCTACTACCCTTGCTTCGGCCACCTGACTGCCCTACTCAGCATCACCAGTATGCACTTGCCGCTACACGACCCTTGTCGGCGACCCTTTTCAACTCCGATGTCCAGTCGGAGCGACAACAGCCAGCCTTCAGCTGAAGTTATACACAATCCTCAGTATGTTGGCGCTCATCCTGTACTCCCTCTCCAACTCGTCCGAACCCGCAACTCCTCGTTGCCCATCTCCTTCCCATTCCGCAGCACCCCCCTCTCACATCACTGCAACCCCGCCCTCCACCACTGCATTCTCCCCTGACGCTGACTGCCTCCTGCGCCCAACCCTCTTTCCCTATTGCGGGCGGGTCGCTCGCAGCATCTCGTCACTCAGAAGCGGTACGTTGGCAGCCGCAAGCGCCGCCGCCTCCTGACCCACGGGTCGCAGGTTCAGCAAAACCGACGGCATAAGGTCCGCGCCACGAACCGTTAACGGTTGCTGCAACTGCTGCTTGTTGCCGCTAACACCAGCGCCACTGCTACTGCCGCCAGCCTGGCCCAGCCTGGCCGTCGCAGGGGTTGCTAATGAGCCCCTAGTAGCGGTGGCGGTGCTAGCGGTGGTTGCGGCGGCTGTAACCAACTGCAGCGGCTTGCGGTTGGGTTGAATCAGGTCGAAGGTCATGGCGGGGTGCCGCAGCGAGGCGGCTACCCAGTGGAAGATGCGGCTGACGGGCTCGGAGGCGCCGAAGTGGCCCTGGGGGGAGCAGCGAGCGGGGCCGGGGGAGGGAGGAAGGGGGGGGCTCCAGGGGGGTTATACAAACAGGTGTGGCGGCGTTGCTTGGGGATGTCTAACGCAGTGAGAGGAGGAAGCGTACCCCCAGCCGCATGCCGTCCTACTTCCCTACCCACTCAGGGGGGAGGGCCAATCGGGCGCCACCCACCGCCCGCCCCCCCCCCCAGGAAGGCGGGGGGCCGCTCCGGAGGGGCTCAGCCGGGTCGCACCATCACCCCTCCGCATCAGCCCGCCGGCCCAGCTACACCCCAGCCAGCTCCTCCCTCCCTGAACAGCCCCTTACCTAGTTGCCTTGCCCACACCCATACCCTCCCCTGCATGCTGCGGCCCCATGCCTCCATGCCCTCCCACTAGCGCACCCCACCCCCACCCCCGCACACGCTCCCCCCCTCCCCTTCCCTCCCCGCACCACCTCACCTGCAGACACACACCCTCCGGGAAGCGCACTCGCACTCTCGCCACCCCCGCAGGCACCCGCCCGCCCCCCTCCTCCTCCTCCCCCTGCCCCTCCCGCCCCTCCTGCTGCTGCTGCCGGCCCCCCTCCTGCTCCCTGCGCTCCCGCATGGCCCGTGTCGCCAGCGTCTGCTGCTGCTGCCGGCGGCGCTGCAGTGCGGCCCACTGCGACTTGAGCTCCGCAGCGGTGCGCTCGAAGAACCACTCGGGAACCTGGGCAGGGCAAGGCAGGGGAGGGGAGGGGGGGGAAGGGGGTAGTGTGTATGGGGCCACTGGAGCCGGCTGTTGTAGTAGAAGAAGAAGAAGGGAGGGGAGGGAAGAGGTGGTAGCGTCGGCAGGAATACCGGTACTTCCACTAGGCGGTGCGGCTCGCGTACCGGCAGCGAAACACCATGACATTGGGGAGGATGCAGGGGGAAACCGGGGTGGGGGTTGGGTGCGGGAGAAGGGCTAGGCGGATGCAGGGGCTGCAATGCAAGGGTTGGCGGGATTTGGGGGCTGTGAGTGTGGCGAAGAGGAGCCCTGTGGTGGGAGACCAGAAGTCAACCAGCGGCAACGAGGGGGCAGCGGCGTCATCCCTCTCCTGTACCCGCCCTCCCTGCGCCCGCCCTCCCTGCGCCCATCCTAGGCCACCTCAGCAACCCCTGACCCGGATGCGGCCCCTGCTGCCTGCTTGCCCCCACGACTGGCCCCCTCCTCACCTCGGTGTCGGGAGTAGCAGGCAGCAGCACCTGGGGGGAGGAGGAGGAGGGAGGGTGGGGGAGGGTGAGGGGGAAGGGGTGAGGCTGGTCAGGACTACACGGAAAGGTGGAGGTAAGAGAGAGGAGGGGCAGGGGCGGGTCTCTGAAGGCATGTGTAGCTCACACACAGCCCCCCCCCACAGAGCCTTGCAGCCCCCAGCGCCACTCCCCTGGAGCCTTGCAGCCCCCCAGGCAGCCAGCATCCGTTCCGCAACGGCTGCGAATCAGTGTGAGGCCGTACAGCCCCGCATGCATGGTACATAACCGGCGGCGCTCCCGCCCTTCGCCACTTCCCCCCTGCCCCGGGCCTTTCAGCTCCAACCTCAACCCGCCCAACCCCGCATGGCTCTTCCGTTCCCCCACCCCGCCATGCACCCCCCCCCGCCCCAGCCCCACTCCCACCTGCGTGCACCGCTCCACCTCGGGGACCGCTGCCACGCCGGCAGCAGCAGCAGCCGGAGCGCAGGCAGCGGCGGTAGCAGTGGCGGCACCCGTAGCAGCAGTCCCACCCGCTGCGGTACCGGTGGCGCTGCCGCTGCTGGCCCCGCCAGCCAGCGAGTGCTGCTGCACCCCACCCCCACCCCCCACCGGGCCACCCCCACCCCCACCCCCCACCGCAGCCGCAGCAAAGTGCGTCGTCAGTACCTCTGCCAGCAGCGTCAGGGCGGCCTGCAGGGGCGCCAGGGGGGCCTCATCAGGCAACACCAGGAACCTGGGAGCAGGGGGAGGATAGGCGCCGGGGGGGGAGGGGAGGGGAAGAGGAGGGGTTGGAAGTGATAGCTGGAGCTAAGAAGGAAGTTAAGAAGGGAGCTCAGGTGCAGATGGTGCTTTTGCATGCTCTCCCCCACAAGCCACAACTCTGTGCCTTGCTGCCCCCGCCGCCTTGTTGCCTTCCGCGTGCAGCCGCCTCCCAGCACATCCCTCCTCCGCAGCCCCAGCCAGCCGCCTGCACCCCCCCTCCCCCTCCCTCACCCCTCACCCCCCACCCCTCCCTTTCGTTCTTCCTCTCCCTCACCCCTGCTCTGCCGATCCACTGCCGTGGTCGGGCGGGAAGTGCAGCTGGAAGCCTGGGGCGAGCGGGGAGAGAGGAGGGGAGAGGGGGTGAGGGCGGCAGGGAGAGAGGAGCGGAGAGGAGGGCAGATTTGAGAGTATTGGGGCAAGGCAGCAAACTGGCACAGACGCACTGCAACCGTAACAACAACAGTGCTTCTAAAGCTTCAATACTCCGGCCCTAACAGCCGCCCTGCTATCCGTCCCAGCCCCTACCCTTCTCCCTACCACTCCTCAACGTTCTGACCTCCCCTCCTAAACCCTCCCTCCCTCTCCTCCCTCACCTGCCGTCCCCAGGAGCTCAATGGCCCCCGGCACCGACCCAAGGGTCGCTTGCACCCGGGGGTTGGACAGCCGTATCTGCCTGTACTTGGGCTCCTGCGGGTGCGCCACCACGTTTGCCAGCACCCGCTGCAGCGCCTCTAGACACGCCAGTCCCGAGGTGGAGGAGGAGGAGGAGGAGGAGGAGGAGGGGCAGGGGGGGCAGGGGGGCGGTGATGGCACTGCCACCCCGGCTGCTGCTGGCGCAGTTTCCTGTTGTCCCTCCCGCTGCTGCTGCTGAAGCTGCTGCTGCTCTCCAGCGTCAAGCGGGGAAGCGGAATCAGCAGCGGCGGCAGCAGTGGGAGCGGAATGCCCCTCACTCAGTGCTCCTGGTTGCTCGGAGGAGGAGGAGGGGCATGGCAGCGCAGGTGCTGGTGTGGCTGATGCCGCCCCTACCGGTGCTGCTACAGCTGTCGTTGACGTAGTGGTGGTTGAGAGTATAACGCTCAGCCAGTACTGCATATCGTAAGATAGCTGGGAACTATCCACGTCAGCAACAGCTCCATCTGCTGCTGCGGTGACGGCCGCAGCAGGAGCAGCAGGAGCAGCAGCAGCGGTTGCATGTGTGGGCCTGACTGCTGCCGCCGCCGCCCCCCCGGGCACCACCCCCACATGCAGTACCCCCGCTAGCCGCCGCTCCGCCGCTGTGGGGGTGCTCAACGTGGAGGCGACCTGCGGGCGGAGGGCGGAGGGGGAGGGAAGAAGCTCACGAGCTGTGTGACCAATACATTGGACCCGGCCCATCCCTCGGCGGAGGAGGGAGGGGGGCTGCAGCAGGAGGGCAACGGAGGGCAACGGAGGGGGCAGGAGCGGATGCGCAGAGGGAGGTGTTCGCGGCGGCGGCGGGCCCCCGGGGCTCCGAGGCCACCCCCGACCCCACATCCCTCCCCCGCTGCCCCCACCGGCACACGGCTCCCCACCAGCCGCTACCCCCATGCACCCCGCCTCCACCCCAACCACCTGCCCCCTGCCTCAGCCGCCACTCACCGGCCCCTCCTCCGGTATGTGAATCCCGCCGCCCGCCAGCCGCCCCCGCTTGCCCCGCTGCTGCTGCTCCACTGCTGCCCCAGCCACCCTTCCCTCGGCCCGCTGCTGCTGCTGCTGCCCCGCCTCCTGCCCCGTCCGCTGCGCCTGCTGCTGCTGCGGGTGCTGCTGCCTCAGCTGCTGCTGCGGCGCGGCGGCTCCGTTCACCGCTGCCAGCAGGTGCGCCTCCCGCCCTGTGGGCGTGTTGGCCAGCAGCGCCGCGTCCAGCACCACGGAGGGGTGGCGCGGGGAGGAGGGCGCGCAGCGGGCGGGGGGGAGGGGGAGGGGGAGGGAGGGGGCTGCGGGAGGGAGGGAGGGGAGGGGAGGGAGAGGGACGTTTCCGGCTTGCTATGCAGTCTTTTCCTCGCCCAACACCGGCCGACGATGAGTGCTGTGCGCACGGGAAAGTGCTCCCCTTTCACGACCATTCGCACCCCTTGCTCGTGCAGCCCCTCATGGCAGCCCCTGATACCCCCTTTTTTTATCACGGAGGCACCCACAAGGTTGCTTGGTAGACGTGGGAGCAGTGACTGGTGTCAGCTGGGCCGCAGGGACGGATGCTGCTGCCGGCTGGGGCATAGTTGTGGGACTTGGCCCGGCCATTGCAGATGTCGCCGCTGGATCCTGGAGAAAAATCAGAGCAATAGAATACGTTAGGACGGGACCCACGGCTAATGCGTAGAGACATGACACAACGCAAATGCCTTGATTATTCTTCAGGACTGTGGAGCATTACCAGGTCAAAACAGCGCTGCTTGGCCAGCAGGCTGGCTTCCTCTAGCTGCCTAGCAGCTAGCAATTTGTGGAAAGGACTCGCGAGTCAACGCACCTGAGCAGATCCAAGTCGATGGCCTTGACCTTGGAACTTTGCATCTTCCTTCGACTTAAATAAACTCTTGAACTTCTCTCCGAGCGCATCAAAGTTAAATGCCATGGCTTCCACCGAGTCGAAGCAAACCTATGCACTGCAGTAATGAACTGATCTACGCTACTACTCCCAGCATAATAATCCGTTTCAATTTCGGGCAAGATTCTGCGCCTCGGCGTATGCTGGTACCTCCGGTAAGCATCAACGGTTCACCCTATGAAGGCTTCAGGAAGTTGCTTTGCTTTAGCACAGTATGTTCTAGAAAACCGTGATAACACGAATAAAGCTCAACGCACGTTTACGGTTTACCTTCGCTATGCACAGCCAACGACCAACCGCACAACTGCGCTCGGCCCCTCGCCATGATCCACTTAACCGCGTGGAAGCTACTTAGCTAGCTAGCTTACACGCGGTAAGCGCGAAATCAATCACCGTTGGCGTACAGCACCCGAGATTGGACAGCCTGTCATGTCCCTCCTGTGCAACATCTAATCGTCCTTCGGTGGATCGCCTCCCTGCTCCGCAAGAAGGACACAATTTCCTGGTTGCAGGTACCTTTTCCCTTGCAGCGTCATCTCATCTAGCAGCGCAGGACGCAATGCTGGTATTGCGAAGGAAGCGCGAGAGAGTCATGGCGTACTGGTACTTCCCCAGCACAATCCCCTAAAAGCAAACATTCCCTGTAATCTGGAACTGGAAGCTAAACTGGGCCATGTGAGGCCCGTCTATGGGGCGGACACGGCATCCAGCTAGTTTTGACCCACACCGGGCACAAGTGCACCTTCGGATGTGCGGCAGGAGCCTGGGCGTGCGCAATGATACCGGTCGTGTATAGTAAGTGCGGCGTGATAGGGCCACTGACACCCTGATGTCCGCCTTCACGGGACACACGCACAGAACAGAACAGAGCGCCCAGTAGCGGGCTGTACGGCATGCACACTTTTGAGCGGGGTAACCACCCTAACCGGTATCGTGCATTAACGGGAATGCTCCTCCGTGACGCGTCACGTTATAGCGTGGGGTTTTGCACTGCATGCTCGCGGGAGGCGCGGCGGTGATGCTGCAAGACAAGCAACCTTGTAAGTTAGTAAGCTGCCGTACTTGCGATCCTAACATATGCTGTTACGCCTTTTGAAAGCTTACACAAGCATTAAAAGACCCATAATGTTATGTGATACCAGTACCGGAAACGGTGAAACCCAGGCGAGGGTTAGTCCCCTCGCCTAACTTTATCCGCAGTGTGTACGGTGCATGGTGTACGGTAAAGGCGATTTACCGTACAGGAGCAAGACAGGGCAACGCGGTGACCCATGGGTCATGTGCTGTCATGGCTCAGGAGCCCAACCCAGTCGCCAACCATTCCAGCCTGCGCCTACGCTTTGGTCAAGCCCCTGTCCATTGTAGTACAGTCTCGTACAGGAAACGCGTGCGGTATGCCGTACGATACCCGCAGCGCCGTCCTCGTGCATCCATTAAATTATAAAACCACGCATGTTTAAGAAGACATGTCAACAATGCCAGTTGCCCTTAACAAGTTTCGAACTTACACCATGCAAGCGGCCCAAGCGGCCGGCAGGTGCACGCTGTCCATCTTCTCAAAATAACACTTGCCTCACGCCTCACCTTACACCGTCATTCGCTTACTGTTCCTCCTGACAATTGACTTCAACGAATAGCGATTAGACATTCAAGCTATCTGTAATATCAATGGCATGCAGCCCAACCTAGACCTTCTTGCATCTGTGGCGGAGGACACATCACCCCCAGCGAGCGACTAACCATGCAAGCACCTGCGACCCTGCAAGCACCTGCAACACCACCTGTAGATAACACATACCCATGGCCAGTCTCGATTCTGCGGCTCAGTTACTGTTAAATAACAACGCGACTTTCCCTCCATTGCCGTACAATATCCCCGAAGGAAAGCCCCTCACCCCATCCACCTATCTCTGACGCCCTCTTGAACTTCACCCTGAAGCCGTTGTCATGCCAACACTTGCGGTTTGGTTCATCTCTCATCGCGTCCGCCCCCTCATCTAAGCACACCCTCTCCCCCCTCCCTTTTCGAATGCATCATGCCAACCCGCCGCCCTCCTCAGCTCCTGCCCCCTCAGCCTGCTGCGCCCCCCTGCCAGCCCCTCACTCCTCATCGTCCCACGCCACCGCCGCCGCGGCGCCGCCCCCCTCCGCCCCGCCCTCCGCCAGCCCCTCCGCCCTCGCCTCCCGCTCGCTCAGCCGCACATGCAGCCGCAGCTCCCCCCCGTCCCCCCGACTGATCCGCAGCAGCCCGCCGGGGCTGGGCAGCAGCAGCGTGACCCGGAAGGAGGCGCTCCTGACGGTAGGGGTGGTGGGAAACTGAGTCGCGATAAATGGAGGGGAAGGTGGGGGGGGGGGGTGGAGGAGGAGGGAGAAAGAAGAAGAAATGCCGTGGAGGCGGAGGGAGGGAGGAGGAGGAGGGAGGCGAGTTTGCATGGAGAGGGAACTTGTAGGCATGGTAACGTGTGGGCGGCAGAGTGGGTGGCAGAGGCCGTCGGGTCGCAAGTGAAGTCAAGTCTGTGTGCGTGTGTGGTGCGTGTGTGGGGTGTGTTTCCGCGGTGTGTGCAATGTACGGCGGGTTGCATGCGCCAGGTCAGTTGTGCAACCTAACCAGAGTCCATCGCTTTAACACGCAGAGCTAGACTGCCACATCGCCGCACAAAGAACTACTTAATAGCATGCTCTACGTTCCTAAAGCATCTCAATTAAGCCTTTCTCTATAACCATCCATTATCGGCGTCTTAGGTGTGCGGCCACACGCTGCACCCCGACCTGCAACCTTCGCCGTGTCCGGGTTCCCGCATGCTCCCCACCTCTTCCTCCCTGACCTCCCATGTTCAGAATCATGCTCCGTGTCGCATCGCGGCCCGGCTCCCCTTCTTACTCCCCCATCCAATGATGCACTTAACTATAGTTCCCCCACCCCCCTCCCCCACCCCACCTGAGCGCCCGCGGCGGCCTGAGCGGCTCGGGCAGTGGCGGCAGCTGCAGCCGGCGCCCCCGCCGCAACACGCCCCGCAGCAACCCCGCCAGGAGGCCCCCGCCCTGCCCCTCCTCCGCCGCCACTCCGCGCACCTCGCCGTACGTCTCCTCGTACACGATCCGTACCTCCGCCGTACCGGGATCCACCTGAGCGCGTGGAAGGGAGGGAAAAAGGAAACAATCTAGGTTGCGGTGGTTACACCGCAAGAGGCGCATCAGCGTTTACCCCTGCCGCCAGTCCCGTACCGCCCCCCCCCCGCCTCTTTGTCCTGCCTCTTTGTCATGCCCGAGCACATATGGGGCCTTGGTGACGATGTTTGACATCAAGACAATAGTAGTAGACAACTACAAAAGCCAGCATTCAGCTCGGTCGCTGGAGGGTCGCTGTTTCATCGTCACCCCGGACTCGGTATCGGTAGGGACCGCTAACCCATACTTGTTTTTGTGGCACCCTGCCGCTCCTATCCCCATTGTCTTGCCCCAACCTGTGGCTTCCTATGGTTCGGTATGGTCTTTGACCCCCCCGCCTACCTGATACTCATGTCGCAGCGTGAGTCGCAGCACAGGGGGGGCCGCCCTGCCCCCGCCAGCCGCCCGCCCCTCCCGCTGCCCCTGCCCCTGCTGGCCCAGGAGGCCCCTCAGGATGTACGACAGATCTGGCGGTTGGAGGGGGTTGGCGAGGCGCAGCTCCACTATGTTGTCTAGATGGGCCTGAGGCAAGGGTGGGGGGAGGAGGGGGCAACACGACTAACACACTCAGGCTTCCTTGCAACGCTGGCTGTGCATGGTGTTGAAGTGCAGGGGCGAGGGGTGGGGGAGAGGGCGAGGTGGGTAAGTGCGGTGGCTGTGTTTCGGTGCCGCGCGTGTGTTAAGAAAACTGGCCGCGCGTGTGTGTGTGTAGTTGAGTAGAACAAGAGCAAGCAGTTGGGAGAGGTTCGCATGTGAACCGCGAGTACAGGCAAGACAGGCCACGTGTGTGTTAAAATAACTGGCCGCGAGGCGAAACGTACTGTGATTGCCGAAAGATGAAGTCATCCCACCGAAAACGCCACAGGTGAAGTGAAGTCACGTGTGTGTATGTGTTTCAGGCTAGGCCAGCCGCCCGGGACGTTCTCTCGCGTCCCGTGGGTCCCTCTCTGTCCGCCTGACGCCCATCCACCCGCCCCTCCCCCATCCTTACCGCCCCACCGTCCATCCCCTGTCACCTCCAATAGACCCACTCACTCGCGCATCAACCCTTATCCCGGTCAATAACCAACCCCCTTCCTGCTATCCTTCGGTTTCCTCCCCGGTTTCCTGCTCGGTTGACTCCTGCCCTAAACCGGATTCTACTAACCCTCCCGTAGTGACGCGTTTTCACTTTGGAGGCAAACAGCATCCTATTATCCTATTGACATTATCCCTCTTTCCCCGGTTTTTTAATTTCTCCATCCAACCCGTCGGATGGAGAAATTAAAAAATTAGTCGGGATTCGGGATTGGGATTGTGTTGTTGCACTTATTTATAATTTTCTCCCCTCCCCCTCTCCTACCCTCCCCTCCCCCTCACTCCCCAACCGCTCCCCCTCCCCCCCTGCCCTTCACTCTCCCCCCCGCCCCAACCCCTCCCTCTCCCCCCCCTGCCCCTCACCCTGCCCGGATCCACCCGCTGGTACACCTGCCCCAGCGTCACCCCCAGCGGGGGCAGCAGGCCGGGGGGCGGACCGGGGCGCAACCCGCCCAGACTGCCTGCGGGTGAGGGGGAGGGTGAAAAGGAGAGGGTGAAGAGGAGAATGTCCGATGTGTTGTGTGACAGTGGGGGAGGAAGGGGAGGGGGGAAAGAGGAGCCATGCATTGGTTGATAGCGGGGGAGGGGGCGGCGGCGGAGGGTTCAGCAAGAAAGGAGGGCGGGGCAACAGAGGAGGCCCCCCTCATCCTCTCATGCAACACCCCCGCCCCCCCCGGGTCAGCAAATGTCTCCCTCTTCTACCCCCCTCCCTGCTGCCCCCCGCCCCCACCCGTGCTGAACCCGCTGGTGTACAGCAGTCGCCAGCTGCCTGCCAGCGGGTCGCCACCGCCACTGCTGCTACTACCGCTGCAGCCTTCAACATCCTCGCCGCTGCTGCCGCCGCCCAGCACCGCCCCCCGCCCTGCCGCCGCCTCCAGCCGCCGACACAGCGCCTCCACCGCAGCGGCCTCTCGGGGCTAGGAGCAGGGAAGGAGGAGCAGGGGGGGAGAGGAGCAGGAGGAGGAGCAGGGGGGGAAGGGGGAGGGGGTGGGGAGGACAGTTGGAAAGAAGATGGAGAGCAGGAAGGGGGCAGGTGGGAGCAGTGCCTGTACGGAGGTGGGGTGTAGGCCCTAGGAAGGGGTGACACGAGGAGGAGCCGTCGGGACGCTCCGTACCCACCCACACACGCAGGGCGCCCCGCCCCCATCCTCCCGCTCCTCCACACCGCCCCCTGTCCCACTCCTCCACCCCCCTGTTCTGTGGTTTCCCATGGTTCGGTACGGTCTTTGACCCCCCTGTCGTCAAAGCACTCCTTCGTGTGTCGTACGCCCCTCTCCTGCCCAGGTGGTCAGCCCAAATGCCATCACACGCGCTGTGCCCCCCTCTCCCCCCCCCCACTTCCCACTAAACAAGTCCCTCATCGTGCCCCCAACCCCCAAACCTCACACCGCGCCGCCTGCTGCTTCCGAGTGGTGCATCATGGCGCTACGACACTCCTAGCTAGCTGCTGCCATTACCATCGGGAACTTGTTACCAACTGGACATTTGAGACTTTTAAGACATTTGAGACTTTCAAGACATTTGAAACACTTGAGACTTTTGAGACGTTGAGACATTTGAGACTGCTCTCACCCCCGCTGCTATCCCTCGGTCCAGTGGAGCCACCGCCGCCAGCAGCTCCGAAACCAGCTGCTGCACCACCTGGGGTTGGGGCTGTGGTTGGGGCTGCTGAGGCTGTAGGGGCTGCTCCCTCCCACCTGCTCCCCAAAGCTTTTTCTTATCTTCACCCTCGGCTCCCGTCCCGTTCTCAGGTGCGGCTGCATGCATCCGCACCCGCTGCAGACCCGGGAAAAGGAAATGCCATTGTCGCAGCACAGGGTGCCCCTTTAGTGGTCCCTGTGGTGATCTCCGCTGAGATAAAACTGATCGCCGGTCAGCGTTGTTGGCGCATGCAGTTAACGATGATGTAGTTACGGCCGTGCACCCTGTGCGCGCTGTAGAATTTGCTTTCGCTAGCATTTTTGCTCTCCTGGAGTCACAGATGCGCAGATAGGGGCAAGCATATCAGGTCAAACCGAGGACAGGTTGCCTATGGGTTTTTTTGGTGCAACTAGTCGAAGTGCCTCCACTAAAACGTGAAAGAAAGCATGCGCTGAACGAGTAAATGATGTTAGTATTTTCTGTGGAAGCAATCGCACGCGCATAAGCGGCCTATTGTGCGCAACAAAGGTCTGCCTGAGGCGCACGGACAAAAGCAGCAATGTCCAGGTAGGCTAGACACTTACTGACCTACCAAGCGGTGTGCGCGGTTGTGGGCCTAAAGCCCCAGGAAACTGTCGTGCAAGCCAAATTAGGAGGAAGACAGCAAGGCTGCTGGAGCGCCACAATTAACCCATTCAGCAAGCACAACACTTAACCCATCCGCTTTTTCAAGGCAATGATCATGCTATCCGGTCAGTCACCGGGCGTTACAGCTAGCAGTACCGTACTGCCAGAGTCCTGAGTCCCAGCCGAAATCCGATACTGCATTGCCGACACAACTCACCTCTGTAGAATCAATGTGGAGGCATCGTCCGAAGCCGTCCGGGGCGCGGGGCGACGTTGTCCTGGTACGGATTGCGGTCCCGTCGAAAATTCCTGCAGGCAGACTAATTGTCTGCCACTCTCTGCTGCAAAGACCCTACAGAGATTCTTATGAATGAAATGAACCCAATGCGCACCCATCCGCTTTGAACTAGGCTCTAGTCTTCGGGACTGCTTTAGCAGCCATGCGGTAGACAGGTAAACTAGGAGCGATCTAGCCCTAGCCGCTATAAACGACTACAGAGCAATACCCGAGCTGGGGGCATGGACCGTTCAGTTGTTTCCTGGCGAGGCGACACTTCCTTCACGTGCCCCTGCATGTAACTTTTAAGTGTTACCGAGCGCCAACTAGGTTCTTGGAACCCGGGTGGGTATCTGCTTGTGCCTGCATGCAGCCCGCATGCTAGAGCACGCTGCATGTAGGCCGGCCAGTAAACTCGCAACCGCACACTAATAAACTGGGCCAACCTCCCCACTGGAACGCCTCTTAGGCAACCAATTGGCACTTTGCTGCTTCCAGGAGTGTGGCTTACCTGGCTTCCTTAATTTGACGGTGTTTGCCTGCTAGTGTCTACCGGTGTTGGGGCACGCACGGAATACAGAGCCGTAGAGCCGGAGGTGGCAATCCCCGCACTCCGTGCACACGGCTTGTAGGGGACCCTGACTCGGTCCAACTTTGTTTCTCATAGGGGCCTCGGCCCCCCTGGCTCGTACGGACACACTGTACCCGCGTACAGACTGTGACTGTAACAGTAACCTGCACTCGGTAATGAGCAAAGCTGCTTGCTAATCTGCGTTCCCATCCGCTGCCAGGGCTCCTACGGTGTAACACACTATCGCTCGTACAAGGATTGTGGTAAGAGCAGAAGCTGTGGGTGACCTGCATCGTCATGCTCAGGTGGGGGATGCGTCTGGGCAAAGGCTGCAGACACGCTGGGGACAGTTTGGCTGTCCGGAGGAGGACCAGATGATGATCGCCTGTTGTTGTCCGTTTCCGATTGGCATAGGATTGCTCAGATTAAGTGGAAGCTTACAGTCCTCAGGGGGAGCTCCGCTACGTCCGACATTACCTATTACCGGTATTATGCTATTAACCCTAATGTAATGGGCCACAACTGCTTGGCGCCGTCGCCTTACATACTACTTGAGTCTTTCAAGTAGTACCCTGTTGCAATGATAACGTGCCCGACATTGAATGGCATTCAATCGTTGCACCAATGCGACGGCGCTACGGGATCCCTGGGAGCTTGCCTTTGGGTCACCGACAACGGATTCTAGGCGTTATGTCCTTATATGCGATTAGGTTAATAAGCAATGGGTGAGCTCAGAGGCATGGTTGTTGGGACCATCCGACACATGGACATGTGGTGTCCATGATACCGGTACCGGTAGCTTAGCAATTGCGACGACGGCCAGTTTAATATTATCGCTTTTAACAATAACCAAGACTATGTTACATGTTTGCACCTGCCGTGTAGATCATTGGTCGGGCTAAAAGACCGCTGACTGGCGAGGCTGGCTCGTCCGGCGAACAGGATCCTTTGGCAAGTGTTTTTAGAAGCAGTTGCTCCATTCTGGCATGTTGGAAAGTTGCCTTGATACTCCTCTGGCTATGCCTTAGAGTTACGCCGTACGCACGCTCCAATTCTACCCATAGTCGGACCGGCGCGGCACCTTAGTTCTGTATGTTGTCGGAGCATTTCAACCTGTGAAGACGTATTGTAACTTTTGTCATTGACTTGCGGATAGTAGTGACGATTCCTGACTGCCGCAGTACAAGTGGGCAGCAGTACATAGGTCACAGCACAGGACAGGTAGCAAGGCCAAAGAAGTCTCATAGCACGGACTAGTTACACCTCTTTGAACATTGCAAAAGTCGGAAATTCGGGAAGGACTCGCCCGGTTCACTAAACGACAGGGACTCCGGCGCCGGGCAGGCCTGATCCACCGCCTTAACCTAACAACATGCACCCATCTACTTAAGCCAAGATATATAGGCTATGGCGTCGGCGCGGCTACGACTGACGCTGCTGCTTGCAGCATTGCTCGCGGCACAGGTTTCCCTCGCAATCAGCACTGGCGCAACTGGTGAGTCAAGCAATAAAATAACAAGAATTCCGATGTGCCGTTAGTTTATCCTAATGTTTGGGGTTGTTGTTGAAGCGTCCGCATTTTTCCTACCTCTCCTGCGGAGCCGGCACTCATTTTCTTTGTTTGTAATGAAAAATGGGTGACTTTAGTGAGACTAAGTTAGGCTGTTGACTTGTTAGGACAAACAACGGATATGGCGGATAATCTGGCTGGTAGGAACGTCGGGAAGGCAGTCCGCGCGTATGCACCCACCTTCATGTATCTGCTTGTCCTCATTGCATCGGTTACTTGTGGCTCGTGGGGCAGGGAAAGCATCCTACCGTATTGGCGTCCGCAAATACCCATTTAGCTGACCGTGATGTGACCTCTAAGGAACATACTTACGGGTCGAGTACCTTTCCTGCTCTGGCTAATGTCTATATTCACAAACCAAGCGCACCAAAACATGCCTTCCTAGATACACCCGTCAGAAACAGCAACATATGCGGTGTGTTTTTGCCGCTAAGGATGAAATGCGGAACATTTTACTTCCCGTCGGGAATGCCAGGAACTTCCTACAGTGGTTTTGTGTTGTAAAGCTTGCATGCCCATAGCGTTTTACTGCTTCTCCTGTCAGTTTCTGACGGCCCTTTCCTCTTCCCATCCGCAATGTAGGCATCGTGGTCTCAACCTATGGTGGCACTGCTCCCCAGGTTTCCCAAGGGACTGACAGCTCCGCGCCGCCACCGGGCTATTCCTTCGATTCGCCTCCTCCTCCACCCCCTCCACCGCCACCACCTCCGCCTCCTCCTCCTCCGCCGCCGCCCCCACCACCCCCGCCGCCGCCCCCACCACCCCCGGGCTATTCCTTTGATTCGCCACCTCCTCCACCCCCTCCGCCGCCGCCACCTCCGCCTCCTCCTCCTCCGCCGCCGCCACCCCCGCCGCCGCCCCCACCACCCCCGGGCTATTCCTTTGATTCGCCACCTCCTCCACCCCCTCCGCCGCCGCCACCTCCGCCTCCTCCTCCGCCGCCGCCGCCACCCCCGCCGCCGCCTCCACCACCCCCGGGCTATTCCTTCGATTGGCCTCCTCCCCCACCCCCTCCGCCGCCACCACCTCCGCCTCCTCCGCCGCCGCCGCCGCCACCCCCGCCGCCTCCTCCACCACCCCCGGGCTATTCCTTCAATTCGCCACCTCCTCCACCCCCTCCACCGCCGCCACCTCCGCCTCCTCCTCCTCCGCCGCCACCACCCCCGCCGCCGCCCCCACCACCCCCGGGCTATTCCTTCGATTCGCCTCCTCCTCCACCCCCTCCGCCGCCGCCGCCACCTCCTCCACCACCACCACCACCCCCGGGATATTCCTTGGATTCGCCTCCTCCCCCACCCCCTCCACCGCCGCCACCTCCGCCTCCTCCGCCGCCGCCGCCGCCACCTCCTCCACCACCACCACCACTCCCGGGATATTCCTTGGATTCGCCTCCTCCCCCACCCCCTCCACCGCCGCCACCTCCGCCTCCTCCGCCGCCGCCACCGCCACCCCCGCCGCCGCCTCCACCACCCCCGGGCTATTCCTTCGATTCGCCACCTCCTCCACCCCCTCCGCCGCCGCCACCTCCGCCTCCTCCTCCTCCACCGCCGCCACCCCCGCCGCCGCCTCCACCACCCACGGGATATTCCTTGGATTCGCCTCCTCCTCCACCCCCTCCACCGCCACCACCTCCGCCTCCTCCTCCGCCGCCGCCGCCACCCCCGCCGCCGCCTCCACCACCCCCGGGATATTCCTTGGATTCGCCTCCTCCTCCACCCCCTCCGCCGCCGCCACCTCCGCCTCCTCCTCCTCCGCCGCCGCCACCTCCTCCACCACCACCACCACCCCCGGGATATTCCTTGGATTCGCCTCCTCCCCCACCCCCTCCACCGCCTCCACCTCCGCCTCCTCCTCCACCGCCGCCGCCACCCCCGCCGCCGCCTCCACCACCCCCGGGCTATTCCTTCGATTCGCCACCTCCTCCACCACCTCCGCCGCCACCACCTCCGCCTCCTCCTCCGCCGCCACCGCCACCCCCGCCGCCGCCTCCACCACCCCCGGGCTATTCCTTCGATTCGCCACCTCCTCCACCCCCTCCGCCGCCACCACCTCCGCCTCCTCCTCCGCCACCGCCGCCACCCCCGCCGCCGCCTCCACCACCCCCGGGAAATTCCTTGGATTCGCCTCCTCCTCCACCCCCTCCGCCGCCGCCACCTCCGCCTCCTCCTCCGCCGCCGCCGCCACCTCCTCCACCACCACCACCACCCCCGGGATATTCCTTGGATTCGCCTCCTCCTCCACCCCCTCCACCGCCACCACCTCCGCCTCCTCCTCCGCCGCCGCCGCCACCCCCGCCGCCGCCTCCACCACCCCCGGGATATTCCTTGGATTCGCCACCTCCTCCACCCCCTCCGCCGCCACCCCCTCCGCCTCCTCCTCCTCCTCCTCCGCCACCCCCGCCGCCGCCTCCACCACCCCCGGGCTATTCCTTCGATTCGCCACCTCCTCAACCCCCTCCGCCGCCGCCACCTCCGCCTCCTCCTCCTCCGCCGCCGCCACCCCCGCCGCCGCCTCCACCACCCCCGGGATATTCCTTGGATTCGCCTCCTCCTCCACCCCCTCCACCGCCACCACCTCCGCCTCCTCCTCCGCCGCCGCCGCCACCCCCGCCGCCGCCTCCACCACCCCCGGGATATTTCTTGGATTCGCCTCCTCCTCCACCCCCTCCGCCGCCGCCACCTCCGCCTCCTCCTCCGCCGCCGCCGCCACCCCCGCCGCCGCCTCCACCACCCCCGGGCTATTCCTTGGATTCGCCTCCTCCCCCACCCCCTCCACCGCCTCCACCTCCGCCTCCTCCGCCGCCGCCGCCGCCACCCCCGCCGCCGCCTCCACCACCCCCGGGCTATTCCTTCGATTCGCCACCTCCTCCACCCCCTCCGCCGCCACCACCTCCGCCTCCTCCTCCTCCTCCGCCGCCACCCCCGCCGCCGCCTCCACCACCCCCGGGCTATTCCTTCGATTCGCCACCTCCTCCACCCCCTCCGCCGCCGCCACCTCCGCCTCCTCCTCCGCCGCCGCCGCCACCCCCGCCGCCGCCTCCACCACCCCCGGGCTATTCCTTAGATTCGCCACCTCCTCCACCCCCTCCGCCGCCACCACCTCCGCCTCCTCCTCCTCCTCCGCCGCCACCCCCGCCGCCGCCTCCACCACCCCCGGGCTATTCCTTCGATTCGCCACCTCCTCCACCCCCTCCGCCGCCGCCACCTCCGCCTCCTCCTCCGCCGCCGCCGCCACCCCCGCCGCCGCCTCCACCACCCCCGGGCTATTCCTTCGATTCGCCACCTCCTCCACCCCCTCCGCCGCCACCACCTCCGCCTCCTCCTCCGCCGCCGCCGCCACCCCCGCCGCCGCCTCCACCACCCCCGGGCTATTCCTTCGATTCGCCACCTCCTCCACCCCCTCCACCGCCACCACCTCCGCCCCCGCCCCCACCACCTCCTGGCTATTCGGCAGATTCTCCTCCCCCTCCACCTCCTCCACCACCTCCCCCTCCGCCGCCTCCTCCACCACCTCCCCCACCACCCCCGCCCCCACCACCTCCTGGCTATTCGGCAGATTCTCCTCCCCCTCCGCCTCCTCCCCCACCTCCCCCTCCGCCCCCGCCCCCACCACCTCCTGGCTATTCGGCAGATTCTCCTCCCCCTCCGCCTCCTCCCCCACCTCCCCCTCCGCCCCCGCCCCCACCACCTCCTGGCTATTCGGCAGATTCTCCTCCCCCTCCGCCTCCTCCCCCACCTCCCCCTCCGCCCCCGCCCCCACCACCTCCTGGCTATTCGGCAGATTCTCCTCCCCCTCCGCCTCCTCCCCCACCTCCCCCTCCGCCGCCGCCCCCACCACCTCCTGGCTATTCGGCAGATTCTCCTCCCCCTCCGCCTCCTCCCCCACCTCCCCCTCCGCCGCCGCCCCCTCCTCCGCCGGCCCCCCCTCCGCCGCCCCCGCCACCTCCACCCTCGAACCCACATGATTCCCTGGGCCCTTCACCCCCACCTCCCCCACCGCCACCTCCACCGCCGCCTCCGCCTCCACCGCCTTTTAACCCACTTACCCCCGCGGACCCTCCACCCCCACCCCCACCTCCTCCACCTCCGACCCCACCTCCACCCCCACCACCAATCCCAGCTCCAAGCCCAGAACCTCCTCCGCTGCCACCATGGCTTCCCCCACCTTCTCCATCTCCACCTCAAAAACCGCCTCCGTCACCCCTGCCACCACGACCCTCACCACCGAACCCCTCTCCGCCCCCACCTCCCAGCCCCTCACCTCCTCCCAGCCCTTCACCACCCAGCCCTCCACTACCTCCCAGGCCTTCACCTCCACCGAGCCCATCACCTCCGCCCTCGCCCCCACCCCCTAGGCCCAGCCCCCCACCTCCTAGCCCTCGACCGCCTAGCCCCCCACCTCCAAGCCCACCAATTGACCCCTGTGTGCTCTGCCAGACGTGCCTCACCGCTCTCGAGCCCATTGCAACCCAAGCCGCAAACAAATCCTCACCCGAAGTAGGCGCCACTGCCACTGCAGACGCCTTCCTGAAAATCTGCAAGGCCCAGCCGGCTTTCCCTGCGAAAGCCTGCTCTCTGGTCTCTACAGCCATTATGCAAGGCACCACTCAGATCGCCGCTCGCGCGGGTCAGATGTGCGCGCAGCTGGGCGTGTGCAGCACCGCCCTCAAGTGTTACAGCCTCACGGCCGCCAGCATCAACACCCCTAGGACCAATCTGACTGGCAGTCTGGACTTGTGCGCGGCTGAGGGCGTGACTGGCGGAAAGAAGGTCACCCTGCCCAGCGCCAGCACCACCGCCAGCAGCTGCCGTTCCCGCTCAGACTGCGGCAGTGGGCAGGTGTGCTACTTTGACACGAGCGCGGCTGTCAAGCCCCGTGTCTGCGGCTGTGAGGCTGGTAATGACGTGTGCTACGATATCGGCACTTGTGTCAGCTATTGCGATCTCAACTCGACGGTTACACAGCTTGAGCGCCTGAACAGCGGTATCTCCACCTGCACCCCGACCGACAATGGCAGCGGCACTGGCTGTGCGGACAACGAGTTGTGCGTTCAGGTCGCCAACTGCCAGCGCTGGCAGTGCAATGCGGCGAGCCAGTCGCTTGTGCCCGTCTCGTGTGATGGCAAGTGCAGGCCGAAGGACCTTAAGCCCCTTTCTGCCAAGATCTCTGATGACGGGCAGTCGGTGGTGGTCACCCTCAACGCCTACGCCACCAAACTGTCATCGGTACCTTGCGGCCGTATCTTCGACGCCGCTTCTTCCGCTCTCCTGGGTGGTGCGAGTGCGGCGATGTGCAGCACCTCCGACAACACCCTCACCGCCAAGATGGGACCGACGGCGAAGCTCATGGTGAGTCCATTCTTGCCCTGCATCCTCCTCCAGCTTCCTTGGCTGTTCCCAGCCTCCGTCGTTCATTATACTGGTGGTGTTTTGTAAAAGAAGGCACGTCTCACTGAATGTGATCCCAACTACATACCTCCTGTCGTGCACGCCTCCCCCCCTGCATTGGTTTCCAAATCCTTCCGTGTTGTCCTGTGCGCGTCTCTAGCGTACCTAGCCCTGACCCCTCTTATCTGCTTTGCCTCTCCTCCGCTGCAGCCTGGGAACTCGCTTACCTTGCTGACCTCCACCTCGGCCCTGGTGGGGCAAGTGGACTCAACTCTGGTCTTCACCGGCTCTGTGACGGTGAGTTGGGGCAGTCACAACCTTGTTGCTGCCGCTGTGGCTGTTCAGCCCATTTACGCCCCGTGATGTTGATGAGCTGCATGATTGCTGTTGCGTTTGGCAGTGTCAACTCGAATAGCCGCTTGCCACCATCGCTAACAGTGCTCCCCCTCTTCCCTCCCTTCAGGTGGATTCCTGCACCGCATGTGTCGTCCCCAAGGTTGCTCTGGCGGGCCCCTCCGCCATCACCACCCCGTGCACCGACAGCAGCAGCAGTAGCAGCCTGCTGCAGGCCGCGGGGGCCGTGCCGCCGTCCTTCGACGCCTCGCTCTCCTACGACCCCTCGGGCCGCACGACCTGGTCCAATGTCCAGTGGTCCCTGGCCGACTCCTCGGGGTCTGCTGGCGGTCGTGCCACACTGCAGGCCGCCATCGACCGCACCAACGCTGTTTCCAGCCCCAACAGCCGCCTGGTTCTGTCACTCATGACGACCGAGGCCAATTCGCTGCCCGAGTCGACGTACACGCTTCAGGCTACCCTAACGTCCTGGCTGGGCACGTCCGCATCTAAAACCTTTAGCTTTGCCAAGACTGGAGATGATGCTCCTCCGGCTGTAAAGATCGTGGGGCCAGCCGTCCAAACCTTCCGGCTGTCATCCGGAATGCGAGTTTCTGCTGCAGTTGGGCAAGTGTGCAGTGGTAAGTCCTCCTGATTGGGTTTCGGCAAGTTGTGCATTACCTATCTACCGGCACTTGCACTTCTGACGGCCCCCTTCAACCTGGCTGGTACATGCAGCCTTAGCATAGGACCCAACATATGCACAGAACAGGACTCGCATGGTTGCACCTTCGCCATTGATGCGCTCTCCATAACCTTGCATCCTTCTTAATGCCCTTAATCCGGTCTCCTAAATGCACGGACCCGAGTCTTGGGTCTCCGCATTTACGTGAAACACATTGACTTGAGCATTCACTCAAGCCTTGCGTTTCGTTCACAACCCAATCCGTGTCCATCCTTTGGGTTTGTGAAGCATGGTTGTAAGCACATCCGGCATACACGCGCGGGTGCATTGCAGTGTCGGTATCTTGCCTGCATGCATCCTGCGTCTAAGCTGCCAAGGTGCTCCCACTTGAAGCTGGCCTTCGTCGCCCTTCCCTTCACCGTCATATTGCTGTTTGACTGCTGGCAGGCCGCACGCTGAGCTGGCTGTGGACCTCCCCCTCCGGCTGGTCGGCCATTCCGGAGGCGGGATCATCGGCGCAGCAGCTCTATGTGGCCGCACCCGTGGCGGCAGTACACGGACAGGACATTGTGCTGCGTGTGAACGTATCCTATGCGGGAATCAGCTCAGGTAACGGGCCGGCTGCTGTCATGTTGTCGTTAACGTAGTTTGCTTCGTAGCAGGGACAGGCGACAGATTGCATGGCTAGCAGCCGGCTGCAGCTGTGTTTTTGGTAATTTGGCAGGCTAGCTGTTTCGTATGTGTGGCGTGGGCTTGTTGTTCTCACTGTCCTCGATCGCTCCTTTGCCCTGCAGTGGCCGCGGGCACTGACACCGTGACGATGACGGCTGTGGGTGCGGCGCCCTCGGCCAAGCTGTCTGGCCCCAGCGGTGACGTGGCTGACGATACCACGCTGGTGTTCAACGCAACCACCTCAACTGACCCGGACACCACCCGCGACCTGCAGAGCCTCTCCTACACCTGGGATTGCAAGTGAGTAAAGCGTCGGTCTTCATGTACGGGACGTGTCAAAAAAGGACGTTGCACAGCATGGGCTTTCAAAACATGAGCTTTTGCACAACCTTGCTGTTGCCTTCCTTGTTGCCTTCCTAATCCTCCTTCCTTCCTGTCGCACAAACAGGCGTGAGGACTACCCGGCTCCCTGCTTCACGGGTGCCGACCAGGGCGACTCGACCTCCTCTCCCGGCGTGTGGCAGCTGGCCCCGGGCCTGCTGACCAGCGGCGTGCTGCACACCATCACCGTGACGGTGTCCAAGGCAGTGTCGCAGGGCGCCTCGCCCCTCAGCGCCACCGCCTCGGTCAGCTTCAAGCCCCGGTCCACCGCCCTGCCCTTCCCCCGCGGCACCCTGTCTCGGCAGTGCAGTGCGGCAGAGTGTGCCAGCCCCCACAACACCGACAAGGACCTCACGCTCATGCTCGTCATGGAGTCGCAGTTTAGGTGGGCAAGCACATGCGCATGGCGGGGTCAGGCCCTACACTGTGTTGTTTCGATTGTGCATGGATTGTGCGCATTGCCACTCCCTTTCATGCAACGCGCCCCTTTCCTGCTGCCCATGCCCTTAAGCTGGGCGGCCGGGCCTAGCTGTTTTCTCGGGGGTTATTCAGGGTCAGGCAACCTTAACTGCCACTGCTGCTTTCTACATGAACACACCACACAGGGAGGCAACTGTCACCTGGTCAAGTGCTGAAATCGACGGCATTGCTGGCGTTAACGCCACCGCCGCGACCCTCACCGACGGCTCCCCCTCCGGCACCTACCTGCTCACCATCCCCTCCGCCTACCTGCCCACCAACCTGGCGGCCGCAACCATCACCGCCAAGATGCTCCTCAACGGCCTGGACGGCTCAGCCATGGTCACCGTGCCCCTCAACTCCGCGCCCGCCTGCACCCTCAGCGACACCGACGATAACTCGGCCTGCCTCAGCGTCGAGCTCACCTCCAGCACCTTCCCCACCGCCGTCGCCTCCGTGCGCGCTCAGGGCTGGTCGGACGCGCAGGACACGCAACTCAGCTATGAGTTTGGTCTGCGTGTGGCGAGGAGTGATGGTGGCAGCGGCACGGAAGACCGAGCGCAGCAGCTGGGCGTGATTTCCTCGGCAGCACTCGTGGGTCTGGCGCAGGGTAATGTGACGGTGTACTGCTGCGCGATAGACAGCCAGGGCTCGAGGACATGTGGCTCATCCGTGGCGGTCATCTTGCCGCCTTCTGCAGACTTTGACGCCATGTCGTCCCTGTCTAGCGTCGACTTGACACAGCTCTCGGAGGTAAGTAGAGCGGAAAACGGGGACGGGGGTTTGCAAACCGTGGGCACTTTGACAGTTCGGAGGATAAAGTGAAAGGCTTGACTATTTGCATGCGTGCGTACAAGCGAATTGGCTACCTGACAAGTCAGCGCAAGCTGCTTCCAAGCTAAGCTCACACACCCAGAGTGTCCCAATTTATCCCCCGGCAACCAACCCGGCCCCCATCCTCCCGTCCCCCCAGTCCGGGGACCAGGCCAGCATCATCCAGGCGGCCGCCCAGATTTCTCTGCTCACAGCCTACATGGCTGCCTCCTCCGACACCGGCAGCAGCAGCAAGGTCGCCAGCGGTGCCAGCGCCAAGGCCTCCGACTCCGCCGTGCAGCTGGCCTCCAGCACCGCCACCACCCTCGTCACCGCCATCCTGGGAGCTACCAACCTGGACGACGCGCAGCAGGTGAGGGCGGGGAAGGAAGGTGCCCAGAAGGAGCTACGTATACCCCTGGTTATGTGTGGGGGGTGGGAGCCGGAGGGAGGGTAAGAAAAAGCAAAGCCAAAGAATGGGACGGCACGCTTTGTGTTCTTGTGCTCGCCAGGCACTTTGCTGCCGTCACTTCTGGTATGTGAAGTAAAGGTTGATACGGCACCTTTTACTGTTCCTCGACCTGACCGCCTGGCGCCCTCAGGGGTTCCAGTGTTCTTTCCTTGCTACTTTTCCAGTCAAGACTTCCAGGTCAATGACGCCCATTCCATTCCCCTTCTCACCATTCCTTTTACCCGCTGCAGGCCTCTCTGGCTCTTTCCTCCATCGCCACCACTGTCAGCAGCTCCGCAGGTCTGCTCAATGACGCCGCCAAGAGCACCGTCCTGCAGGCCGCAGTCAGCATCCTCCAGGGCGTGGTCGACGCGGGCGGCAGCGGCAGTACCATCAGCTCTACCTTCTGCCAGCACATCACCACACTGCTTGTTGCCTCCACACCGAGTAACAGCAGCAGTGCCACGACCGCGGCACTGCGGCTGCGACAGGAGGTGGCCTCGTCCAGCGCTGCGACCTCCCTGGAGTGGGTCAAGCAGACGCTCTCCCTCACGGCCATGATGGCAGACTCCCTGGGCATGCAGGCCACACCCGGCGGCAACTACTTGACCGTGGGGGCCAGCGGAGTGTACGTCTCCGCAGCGGCGCTGTCTGTCCAAGGCAGTGGCACGTCTGCGAGCGTCACGTACACCATCCGTGCCGGTGTGAATGCAGCGCAGCAGCAATACCTTACATCCTCCGCGTCTTCCAAGGCGGCTGCCCGTCGGCGAGATCTGCTGCAGCTGGGCGAGCCGATGGTGGGGCAGCAGCCGCAGCAGGTCCTGCTGCAGCTGCCGGCAGAGCGACGGCGACGGGTGCTGGGGACAGCATCCGCTACAGCGACAGCTGCAGCAGCAGCGACAGCGGGGGCTGTAGCAGCTGCTGCAACTGCAGCAGCGAGAGGGGGCGCGTCATATGGATCTGTATCACAGGAGCAGCAGCGACTCTTGCAGGTGCTGCGGGAGGATACCGCCGCTCCGGAAAATGGCAGCAAGCGACATCACCGACAGCTGCTGGAGGCCACTTCCGCCCCACCACCTGCCACTCCCACCTCATCCTCAGTGTCAAACTCCTCAGTAGCCGAGGCTCAGATTGTCCTGTCCGGTGATGCGGCCGTCAGTGCGATCGGATACAGTGTGGGTCTGTCGTACATTACAGCTGCTGCATCCGAGCTGCCTGCTGCCCTCGGCAGCGGGTTGCCAACCAACGTCACCCTCCGGAGCAGTCTCGTCAGCTTCACCTGGAAAGCCGCCTCCAGTGATGCCGCTGCCTCGCCGCCCTCCCTGGACGGAAATTCCAGCTACATCCTGCTCCGCATCCCAGTGACGGCCTATGATGTGACCAAGGTCGGCACGTGTGTGTTGTACGACAGAACGACGAACAATTTGTACGGCAATCTAACCGACCTCCAGCCATCAACCTCCTCTCCAGCTACCTTCATCAAGTACGATGCAGCCAGCGGCTCTGTGAATTGCCGTATAACGACAGCAGGTGCGTACGTGGTCGCACAGGGCTCAGAAGCGGTTGCAGCACCGCCGGTAGCCGAATCACCGCCTCCTCCTGCTGCTCCACCCGCCGGTTTGGTCGCGGAAATTGGAGTAATCCCAACCACCTTGCCGGACTACAGCAGCAAGAACCCCGTCGCCAGGCCTCCTCCACCGGGCGAGAGCAGTGGCAGGAAGCGGCACTACAACAAGGCCGCAGTGGCTGCGGGTACTGTTATTGGTGGCGTCGCCTTGATCGCGCTAATCGCCGCTTATTTAGTCATACAGCGAAAGCGGGCTCTGGCGAAGGTTGCAGCAGAGCCGCCGGCAGCAGGGGGTGACTCTAGCAGCCCAACATCGTCCTTGAGGCAGCCAGCAGCGGACAGGAGTTCAGGAATTGTTCCTGCCGTGGATGTGGATACTCCTGCTGGGGCCGTGGCTACCGGCACTACTGCTAGGGCCTCCGGGGCTATTGCTGGTGCGGGCAGTTCTTCTATTGTTGTTCGTCCTGCTTCTGCCGGTGCTGCTGCTGGAAGTGTCGTCCTTGCTACCGCCGGTATTGCTGCTACTGCTTCTGCTACCCTAGGTGGCTCCTCATCGGCTGCGGGTACAGCTGCCGCGGATGCCCCCACTCCTCAGCCGGCAGGTGGCAGCAGCAGGCCCACCACTCCCTCCCAGCAACCTCCTCTGGTAGCTTCCACAACAGCCACAGCCAAAGCATCAGCACCGTCGCCGCGTAATGAAGCATCACAGAGCCCTCAGTCGCCTGCTGCAGCCTCCCCAAGTACAGTCGTCTCTCCATTCCAGCCCGCCGCTCCCTCCCCTAGGCTGCCTCCCCTCCTGACCATACCGCGCAATGCAGCTGGCAACCTTTTTGTACGGCGTTCCACTGACAGTGTGTCAACCGCCGAACTATCCCCCGGCGCTGAGCATGCGCTGGCCTTCATCACGCCTAACACTCCCTCGACAGCGGTGGAGGATATGCAATCTCCAACAGTCGTGACAGCCATACTACCACGCAACACGTCCGCTCGGGCGCCAGCCAGCTGTGAGGATCAGGAGTAGCCCCCATGTGTGGGAGTACATCGGCTTGACAATGAGGGGAAGTGTGGCCCATTAGCGTAGCATCAGTAACAAGGACTGTGCACACCGGCAGACGAGCAGCGATGTAGTACTGTATTCAGGCTTATGAAGTCACAACGCATTCGATGGTTAGATAACAGCACATGTGTGATTTTTCGAGAATACTGGGGATGCGGGAGGGGGCGAAGATGAGAGCACGTGGGAAGAAGGCGAAGATGAGAGCACGTGGGAAGGCAATGGCTCCATTTGGGCTCCCTGGAGTTGAGGATACCTTGTACCTGGGGTTTGGCCAGGAGACGTTGGACTGAGCCATCATGCACACGCACATTCCAGCATGCACGCCTCAAATGCACCCATGTTGTTGGTTCCTGGGCCGCTACCGGCAGCCCGCTCAGGCCCGCTGCCTCCAAGCTCTTAGCGATGTTTTTATCTTGAACGTCAGGCGCATAACGGGAGTGTGCAAGTCCCGATTGTTGATGCTGTGTTCATTCCTTAGGGTTCTTCGTCATGTGCGACGGGGAGACATATTTCGATTACAGGCGGTAGACGACGGGTAAAGCATACCACGGTTGCCCACTATCCTCGAGCCCCGAAGTCAACGGGACCCTCGACTTACCATGCTGCATTTCCGGCTCTCGTGCGTCTCACTCGTCGGTTCTGATTGACACATGGTGTCGGGGACTGAAAAAATAATAAGAAGTAAATCAGTACTGATGTGGGTAGCCAAAGTTTGGTTTTCGTAATCCGTCTCAGGGGTTACTTTAAACATGGTTGCATTACAGAACTTGAAAGTGTGCGGGGGTGGGTGCTTGGTTACACACATGTACGGTACCTCGAGGGGGTTTCCTTGTCAACGTCTTACATGGTGGCGTGGATGTCTTCTGCCCTTGTTGTTGTTGAGAGGAATCCTGCCCCTGCCTACAGGGAAGGATCGAGATGCTTCGAGCATGCAGCTTACTGTTGGGACAAATGGTATCAGCTAGTGCAAAGATGTTTCTTTCCGTGCGTGCGTGCGTTCCAGGTGCACCCTGTGCACCTGGGTGGGTTGTATGATTTTAGTTCGTCCCGTTGATGTGTACAGCATGCATGGACGGCAGAGGCGGAGATATGCATGTGTGAACTTGAGTTTCAGAGGTTCGTAGTAGGATGTTGCGTTCCATTCACGTACGCACGGCGGCTATGTTGATGTTCTTTCGCAGTAGTCATTCAGCCTGCAACTAACCGGAGTACCAACACCCTCTTCAGGCAGGCAGCAGGTAGTAGGCAACAGCAGGTTCTGGCATGCATTCCTCCCATTCATTGGGTACTACGGTTCTTGCAGGTGTTTGTGCCAAATGTTCGGCAGGTGTTTGCGCGTGTGTTGCGGCTTCTTAATAATACTTGTTATGCAAATTTCCCCTTCCTCCCGATGGCAGCTCATGTTCTGGTCTGCATCCTAAATGATCAGGAACAGTGGCTATTACAGTTTTGCAGTTTGTCGTTTGTGATTGGCGGCGAGCGGTTGGCGTGACAATCCTTTGCAGCGACCATTGCAATGACGCGTGGCGGCGTTGCGTGCGCCTGACAGCGCCCATCGGTGCTAATATACTTAAGACATCTGCTATATGTCCTAAATGGATGGTGCTATTGCACGCGTTGAAATTCATCTAGCACGTACGCCTCATCACCCAATTGTGCGCAATAGTTTGAGGAGTCCTGGTGGCGGTTCGGAGGTTTGTTGCGTTCGGAGGTTTGCCAAATCCTTTAAATAATAAAGCTCTGCTTACGGGTTTGGGTGAAAATGTACGTTGGAACGGCCTAAAGTTGTAAGTAGTAGTGGTACCGCTGTCACTCCTGCCTGGTGTGTATCTGGTCCAAGTTCTCCATATATCTACATGTATATACATGCAACCTTTTAGCTGCAGCGAAACTACCAGTCACGTGCACTAAGCGGCTTCCCAGAGAAGAAGAAATGCTTTGTGTCACCTAAACATGACAGCCTCCCAGTACGACTACCGTAGCCTCCCACACTACGGCTGTCACCCACTGAAAGGACATTGAAGCATTATGGTTGGCAATGGATGGTTCCCTAGGAGAAAACATGGATGGTGGATGGCAACAAAGTGGACGCACGCTCATGTGAGCAAGCAAGCATCCCACCAGCATTTGGTCCCAGCCGTTGCTCAGGGTCACCACGCACAGTATGTGGCCGAGCCGGCACGCACGTACCGGTGCTTTGCGCCTCATACTCGAACATACATGCATTCAACCCCCTTCCTGTGTGGCTCGGTGTGCGCTTGTGACGTCTGTACGCCGCTGTCGCCCGCTGTCCCCAGCAGGCACAGCACGGCCCGCACTCTCCCAGATCGACAGCGCCACCCATCCCTCGTTACGTTACATGGCCGGGTGTACGGCCGCCGTACCGCGCAACAAACCTCGCTCATTCCTCCGAGGCAGGGGAGTTCCCTTGCAACAGCCCCTCCATGCATGCATGCATGCGAGCGCACACGTTTCCCCTACCTGGGGCTTGCAGGCCTACCAAGCCTGGTCGGTACAAGGTGCAGCCCCCCCGCTGCCGGTGTGCTCGAATAGCGCATGTAGGGAGGCGCTGACGAGGACGGAGCTCTCTCGGCCCGACCCATGGGTCACAGCCAGATTGAGTCTGCCACATACTGGGAAACCGGGCCCATGCCACGAAATATTTCCAGTCACCACCTCTGAGCTCTCACACCCTCCACCACCAACGAACCTGCCAGCTACCGGCCGACGAAGCAAACCCAAACCCCGCCTCGTGTTCGGCCAACGCACCCCTTTTGCGCCATCATCACATCATCATCATCATACAACAACAGCATCAACATCGGTGCAAAACCCATCACAACCTACATCGCACATCCCCCTCCCCGCCTCTCCCTGCCGCTGCAGCCCGCAACCCCCCTCTCGCCACCAAGCTCCCCTCCCCATCCGGGCCCCCGCCGGGCAGACCGGCCCGTGGGTCCAACAGATGCGGCAGCCGCATCAGCCGTACACCGGATTGCCGTACGACAGAGATGAGCTCGTCCACGTCAGCAGTGCTGTGCGCAGCGGACAGACTTACTCGCAACCTGGGGGGTGGGGTCGGACGGGTTGGTGGGGGCGCGTCATGACGCTCCGGGGCCCATGCAAGGCAGGGGAGGGAGCCTCTGCCCTCCCCTTTGGCTCAGCCATAAACCCATAATACCCCTCTCACCCCTGTTCCGCCCCCATGATTTATTTTTCTTCTTCCCTCCTTCCCCCCTCCCCTCCCACCAGCCTAATGCGGAATATGTATCCCGATTCATCCCCTCTCACCAGGAGCTTGTGTCTTGTTTGCCATTCTCATTCAGCAAATTCTTCATTCAATTTATTCTTCTTTTCCCCCTCCCTTCCTCCTTCCCTCCCGCCCGCCCGCCCGCACCTGCATGTTCCCGGCGGCACCGTGGGCGGTCGTATGGCGGGCACGTGCATGCGCGCCTCCCCCAGCAGCCGCCCGCTGAGCCCCAGCGCCGCCTCCTGTCCGCCCACCACCAGCGGCACCACGGGGCTCAGCGCGGGGACGCCCAGGCCCCTGCCCAGCCGGGCGGCTAGGGACCACACGTGGGCGCGGCGCCAGGACTCCCTGGAACGGCAGGAGGGGGGAGGGGGAGGGAAGGGGGAGGTTGGAGGGGAAGAGTGGGGGAGCAGGTAGGGGAGAGGGTGGGGATTGGCGGAGCTCAGCTCCCTCCCCCTCCCCCATACCTGCTCGTCAGTCTCCTTGTTTTTTTTTCCCTACCTGTAGCTGACCCTCAGCGCTGCCGCCGCCGCCTCCACCACCGGCACCGGCAGCGCTGTGGAGTAGACGAAGGGCCTGCCTCGGTTGAGCATCAGCTGCTTGAGGGCGGCGGAGCAGGCCAGGAAGCCGCCCTGGCAGCCGAACGCCTTGGACAGGGTGCCGATGTGGAGGTCCACCTAGGGGAGAGAGGGTGGGGGAGGAGGTGGAGGTGGAGGGAGGGATGGAGGGGGGAGGTTATGTGAGAAGTGAAGCAATAGAGGGGGGGGTAAAAAAAGTAAACGGAGCCATGACAGATACTGGCCGTAACCGTAGCATACCGGTACCATACGATGATGATATCGCAGATGTCTTTAGTGGTGTGTAGAAGCATTTAGACTCGTGTGTAAACGGGGGAGGGGAGGAGAGGAGGAAGCTTGTATAGGGTTACTCGAAACAGGCTGTAAAAATGGTAGAAGCGCAAGGGAGGAGGGAAACTGGTGCCGGTGAAAGGAATGAGAAAGGGGGGTTACATAGCGGCCGCAGGTAGGTGGGCCGGGGCGCACGAGCGGAAGGTTCGTGGCGGGGCGGGGGCCTGGCAGGTGCGCCATCCTGGCACCCACCTTCCCAGCTCTCCCTTTCCTTACGACCCAACGATCCCACGACTACTAACAGCCCCTAACCACACCCCCAACCGCCAACACTGCGGGCGGCCTGGCTCCTCCCCTCCCGCTATTCGTGCACCCCATCCCCACCCCACCGCTCCACCTCGCACCCGCACCCGCCTCCTGGCTCCCCTCACCTGGTCCGCCACCCCCGCCGCCTCCGCCGCCCCGCCCCCCGTCGGACCGCACACCAGACTGGCGTGCGCCTCGTCCAGCGCCAGCAGGAAGGGGTGGCGGCGCTTGAGCGCGACCAGACCCTGGCGGGAGGGGAAGGGGGAGGGGGAGGGAAGCGGGGTGGGGTGTGTGGGGTGGGAGGGGAGGAGGAGGTGGGGTTGGAAAGGGCCGGCAGGCAGGGGCGACGGCGGTTGAGCCGTGCTGGCAGCTGGGGTGGGCAGGCGCCGAAGACGACAAAGGGAGCAACGGCAGAGTTGCGATGCGAGGTGTGCACGTGTGGCGGAGTCTTAACACCTTGCTGCTGACCCGTGGGTCGCGAGGACCTGTGGGGGTTTGCACAGACACGCTTACCGTGCACGTAGGTATCGGTATTGTAACAACTGCAGCATCTCAAGTAGGCTTGCTAATACCCACCCCCTGCCCCCCACTCGCCTCTCACCTCCCCCACTCTCCCAACCCATGGTGAAGCCTCGCCATACAGCTCGTTAGGTTCCTCTTTTTATCCCCCCCCTCCCCTCCCGCCTCCATTCCCTCGCCTCCCCCCACCCTCACCCTGAGGTCCGCGAAGTCCCCGTCCATGGAGAACAGCGAGTCGCTCACCACCAGCCGCCGCACGCCAGGGGGGGTGGCGGACAGCAGCGACTGGGAGGGAGGGAGGAGGGAGGGAAAAAAAAGAAGAAATTCCAAAGTGTGGTGTGATAATGAGGGAGGGAGAGGAGGTTGGGAGGAGGGAGTGAGAGGAGGTTGGGAGGAGGGAGGGAGAGGAGGTTGGGAGGAGGGAGGGAGAGGAGGTTGGGAGGAGGGAGTGAGAGGAGGTTGGGAGGAGGGAGTGAGAGGAGGTTGGGAGGAGGGAGTGAGAGGAGGTTGGGAGGAGGGAGGGAGGACAGGGGCAGGGAGGCGGCTAGGGCGGATAGGCGACGGGGCGTGTGAGCGACGCCCCTCTCCCTTCACGTGTGTAGCCCATAACCCTAAAACCCTAACACCTCCTATCCCTTAGATGTATATCCCTAACCCCTCTGCGGCTCGTGCATCCTCCTCACTGCTCTGCTTCCCTCGGCACCCATGGGGCTCGTCTACCCACCTGCAATAACAACCCCCTCCGCTCCCCCCCCTCCCCCCACCTCCCCCCCACCTCCAGGTGCTCCATGTCGTTGTGTCGGTACACGTGCAGCCGAACCGGCCCCCCGCCTGCACCTCCCCCCGCCTGCACTCCCCCTCCCTCTCCCCCTCCGCCGCCCCCTCGGACCGCCAGCCGGGCTCCGTCGATGATGGACGCGTGGTTCAGCTCGTCACTGAACACCGCCACACCTCCTCCCCCTGCCCCTCCTGCCCCTCCTCCCCCTCCCGCAGCAGCAGCAGCCAGGCAGGTGATGGCCGCCAGGTTGGCTGCGAAGCCGGTGGGCAGCAGCAGAGCCTCCTCGGTGCCCTGATGGAGGGGGGTCAAAGACCAGGTACCAAACCATAGGAGACCACAAGTTAGGGCAAAGCAATGGGGGAAGGAGGGAAACCAAACCAATGGGAGCACGAATAAGGGTAACACAACGGGGGTAGGAGGCGGCTCCTCGCGAAGAGGAGGAGGCGGGTGGGGATTGGGGGCTGAGTAGGTATTACAGCCGGGATGACCTGAGGCGGGGCTTCCGCCCCCGACCCCTACCCTTGCTTCCCGTTCCTCTAGCTTGAGGGGAGCTCTCCCTCCCCTTCCCTCCTTTCTCGCTCTCCCCCATTTATACTTTTCTTGCTTCCTTTCTTCCGCTTTCTCCCGCCATCCAGCCCCCAGCCCACGGCCCTGCCTCAGAAATCCTCCTTTCCTGCCCTCCCCTTCCCTCCCACTCCTAGTGCTGTACTATCCATTGCTTCCACCCGCTATCACCTTCAACCGAGCCAGCCCCTGCTCCAACTGCCGGTGGCTGTGCGTGTAGCCCGCCACCACACCACTGGAGCGGGGACCTAGGCCAACCTAGGGGGGACAGGGGAGGGGGTCGGAGTGGAGGGGAAAAGAAGAGGAGCCATGAGTTGAATGACAGTAACAAAGTAGGTGGCAGAGGAGGAAAGGTGGAACACAGGAGTGGGGGTGTGGCGGGTAGCGGCTCGTGGTGAGGTAAGGTGCGGCGGGTAGCGGCTAATGGTGAGGTACGGTGAGTCATGCGGCCTCAACCCAGCGGGGCTACCCGTGCGGGCGGGGCCACGCTTGGGGCAGCGCTTGCTCGGGGCCAGCACGAAGGGCTAGGAGGGGCCACGAAGGGCTAGGAGGGGCAGCAGGGGGGCCTCAGGGTGATGAATAGGAGGGACGAGGCGGCCGCAAAGAGGAACAGGCGCACGCCGGTACGTCCCCGCAGGCAAGGGCGGCAGCAGCTCCCACTCCGCGGTGCTGCAGGTACGCTTGCTACCTCCCTTCCTCAAGCCCCCCACCTTCATCGTTCCTAGCAGACCCCTCACCCTAGCAGACCTCCAACCCCCTTTCCTAACCTTCGCTGCCGCCCGCGCCGCCGCCCCCGCCACCTCCGGGTGAGAGGCCAGTCCTAGGTAGTCGTTGAGCGAAAACAACCGCAACCGAACCAACGAACCGGGATCCGCGGGGTCGCGGGTCGTTGCGGGGGTGGTAGTGGCGGTTGGGGAGGAAGATGACGAAGGGGAAGGAGCAGAGGACGTGCGGGAAGAGGTGGTATTGGCTGCTGCGGCAGTTGCAGGACTGCCTGGCCCCGACTGACCGGCTGGCTGACGGTCGGAAGGGCAGCAGCAGTTGCTGCTGCCACTGATTGCGGTACTTGTTGCTTGTACAAGCTCATCGCCAGAATAGTGTTGTACGACATGCTGGTAGGGTTTATTGTCGTACGATGGTAAGCTAGTAGAAGCAGCTGATCCAGCTAGCGAGCCGCAATGGTCATAGTGTTGTACGACGGGCGGCTGTCCTGCGATCCATGCTTCTAGGTCAGCCCGATGTATTAGCGCCTAGTGGAGGATAGAGGGGCAGGGTTCGGTGTTCGGGGAAGGGTGTAGGGTGTTACTGCCAAAGACTTTCGCGACACGACATGCGAAAGCATAACAGACAGGCATCGCTTGCAAGCCTAACAGTGCGTGATCAGCGCGTAGCAGGCCAGGTTAGCCGCTTCCCACAGGCCGCAATAAGTCCACAGTCCGAGAGCGCAGTTTGCAAGCAATCCGCACGCTAACGGTCGAGCGCCTCAGAAGCTATGCGCAGTCCCGGCCACGTTTCATAAGGGAATAAGGGCCATTGTCTTTGACGAAACTGTGTGTAGGGTCACGCTGGTGTGCAAGGCAAGGTCCAGTTGGTCGACCAAAACAATCGAGGCCAACAGGCAGTATGGCTCACCTCAGACGACGAATTACAACAGACCGTGGGCCGAAGCGTACGCAGCAGGTGTTCCTTTCGTAAGTACGCTAGCGAGCTATGCAACCAGTCGTCCCATAGCCCAAGCCCATCCTGGACTGGGTCCATGGTTTTCGAAAACATATTATTTTGCGTTTCAATATAATTGGGGCTGATGCGACCTTAAGGAGCAACAAAAGAAGTCAGTACCGAGATTTTCTCCATTAAGGTTACGGACCCAGCCCTGGCATTCTAGTTCTATACAAAAGGCGACGCCGACCTTCTGTCGGAAAGAAACCAAAATTCGGAAGTCGGAAAGAAACCAAAATTTCTTACAGGAGGCTTGCAGACAGTCGCTCCGGAACTTGAGGCGACGTCGCGCGCGCTTGCATAGCGAGTTAGCGACATGCAGCTTGCATAAGCAAAATACCACTGCATTAATCACAGCGACAGCTATTGCTTTTCGACTGTCTGGTAATGTGCAACTGCTCCTGCTTGCTGCGTTCGACAGGCGACGACTCCACCTCAACCGCCAATATCTTAGCCTTCAGGCACGATAGGCTTCAAGCTCCTGCCTTCCGTTGAGACAGCATATTTGCCGGGACAACCGAGTCTTGGGCTGGCGCAGCGTCCGTATTTCCTCAGGCGCTAGCCATCGACTCTCGCGTGCTCGACAAAAGGGGAACCAAGATTACCTTTGTAAAAAGAGAGCCGTAGACCCACATTGCGAGTCCTTATTACGTCATTGGTACGCAAACTCCTTCAGTGTTCCCGGAACTTCCACCAGGCTGTGGGGCTACGACAGCTGCTGACTGCTTCGGCGGTCATGTTGTGGGAGGGCGAGGAGTGTGAGAGGCTATGCCATGGTAGGTTTTGTCCATGGGCTGCAAGGCGTGGAAATAAAACAATTCCATGGGCGAGTCAACGCCTCTGGATACGCCTATGGCTTACACAGTTGCACCGCACCATGGCCTCCGTGTACCCCCCTACCTGAGGTGGGCAGCCGGTGTCCCGCGCCACTCCACAAGCTGCCGCAACCGACCAGCAGCCCCGAGTACGCCGCCTGCGGCAGAGAAGCGGGCGACAAGCTTCCACAGGAGGACGGGGGAATGGGGGCGGGGCCAAGGAAGACAGGGGGTTGGGACATGGAAGCGCCGCCCAGGATTCGTTCGGCCCCTGCCCCCTCCTTTCCCTCCATGCATGCAGGTTGCATGGAGCCCACCGTAGCCTGAGCCTGTTCCTCATTTCCCTTGGCTCCCCTGTCGCCCTCCTAATACTTTGCCCCCACCTCTTTTCTTTGCAGATGCTTACTAAGGCAGCATGGAGTTACCCCGGTAGTTGAGGGATTGGAGGGGCAGGTAGGATTGAATGGATGCAACATGATGAAATGCTAAATTCCAGTGATTGTTTTGGGCCAAAGGAATGGAATGTTTGGAGATATATAGGGGTATGAGCGAATACGGTGGCAAGGTTTGGGCCTTCAATACTGTGCAATAGTGGACATTAGCGAGGTTATCCGATGCAAATTGTGGTGTGCGACCCACGGGTCACGGGTCGTGAGAAAACCATCCATCGCGGCTTTAACGAACTTGTCCGCATATACCCACGTTGATCCTGGCGGTTACCACAGCAAACACAGTAAATAGAAGGAACAGACTCCATCCCATTTCCCAAGATGCCAGTACCAGAGGACACCAGGCAAGTTCCGCTCTTGCAACACAAGTCCGTGCGAACAGGTGACTGCTGCTTACGAACGTTCTCAGGGGGAATCGCCAACGAGAGCCATTCACCTTGCAACACTCTGTCACAGCTTACACCTGGATGCTTCGTTACATGAGATCTTGACAGCAGCCTGCATGCAGACGCGGTCGCGAGTGCTGAGCGCTTAGCGATGGCCAATTCACGTCCGACTCATGTCGTATGGCTTCGGCGGCGGAGTCAACAGGCCCGAAGCAGCGAATGAAAGGACTCTTTCACGTTGGTGCAGATAATTTTAACCATGCAGAAAAATAACCATGCAGAAAATGAAGCACCGTGCTGGCTGCAGAAAATGAAGCGGTGGACCGTGGATGTCACCACCGTTAGGACAGTTATTTTGGACGGGTATTGATCGCGAAATCTCCTTTTCCGTGCGCTCTACAATTATTTCGCGGCCGTTTGTGCCCATAATACATGGTCTTCTGCGGGGGGAGGCCCTGCTAATGTAGCTGCCATGTCATGTATGCTCACGTGGAGTTGATAGTCATGGATGATCGGCACGTGCACACCTCGTGCACACACAAGCAATCTCCGTTTGAGAGTAAGTGCATATTTGGTTTTGCTTCATTTTTCGGAGAAGTTTCTGGTACATGACGACAAGCCGAGTGGTCCAAGGTCCGCCGGCATCGTACTCGATTGCCGACCGTAGTTCATAGCCTAGAAAGGCCGGCAGTTCTGCACGTAGTGCTCTAACGCATGAACGCAATCTCTTAAAACTTGTGGGACGCAAGCCCAATGTTCTCTGACTCACAACTCTCAACGTCTTGCAGCGTATGCCACAAGAAAGACCCGAGTCCGATTGAGGCTGGTTAGCCTCCAAGACGTCAAAAGTCTCAGCAGCCATTGTTTTACAGCACCCAACGTTAGAGGCCACGAGGGAACGCAAATGCATTCGTCTAGCGGCGTGCTAAGCGAATTTCCGGGCGCGATCTACGAAAGTCAAGAAGACATCGTCTACAACCATAACAACAATGCAGCCCGTAACCAACGAACGCCAGAGTTATCAAGAGCTGAAATCCGGCACATCAGGAACAGCGGCGGTGATGAACCAGCCTCGTCTGCTGCAGCCGTTGGAGCGCCTACTTATCCAGCGCCTGATGCTGCAATCACGAACAACCAGTCTACACCCTACAAACAGGTCAGCGGAGTCGTCCCTGATTCCTCCTCTTCCTCAGCAGCAGCACCCGCCTCCGAATCATCCGCCATCTGCCAGGCCAGCAGGCCCTCCGCGTTGTACCACTCGCCCGTGCAGCACATCACTGTAACCCTAAAGGTGAGCGGGTTGGGACTTTTATTTACAATGGGACTTGAGAACAAAAGGCACTAGGAGTTTCGGTGAGGAGGTTTACGAGGGAGCGGGAGTATGCGTACGGCGCGAATTGTCGTACAGTTATACTACAGTTTCTGCTGTCTTCCACCCGCTCAATCACGTCCGCCCGTTCTTACAACGTCGCCCTGTTGACCGCCCATGGGTAAATACCCTCGAACTCCCCCATCTCCCATCTGCCCCTGTGCTTCTGCACGGCAGTTGGCGACTCCTCCCGGAGTGCCGTACGAGCTGCTGGCTACCTCGCTCACCACCGCCGCGCACCGCACCGTGGACAGCGTCATGAACGGCGGCGGCGGCGGCCGCGGCAGCGGCAGCGCAGGTACCCCGGCGGCGGTTGGGCGGCTCCTGGCTGCCGTCAAGGGCAGCAGCAGCGGCACTGGCGGCCGCCGGGGACCTGCGGCACATGGGGGGGCCAGTGACGGCGGTGGCGGCGCCGGCGGCAGCGGAGCCGCGGAAGACATTGCTGCTGTACCGGCCGCTGCCGAGGCGCTTGTCGTCGATACCTCTGCTCGCTGCCGTACGAGCGGCGCCGCCGGCCCATCCGCCCCCTTCTCCCCTGCTCCTCCCGCCGCCGGCTGTGCTGCCACAACAGCCCGTGGCCCCGCACCCTCAGCAACAGCCGCTGAGACCAGCGACGCCGCTACCACTGACGCTGGTTCGGTCTACCAGTCATTGACGTCCGCTCCCTCCGCCGCTCCCTCCGCCTCCGCCACTGCCCCCTCCCGCTGCCTAGGTTACGCGAGCCACGTGCACTGCCTTCGCGGCTGCATTGAGGTAGTTCTGCGGCTGCAGGTGGGTGCGGGTGCGGGTGCGGGTGCGGGCGCGGGTGCGGGTGCGGGTGCGGGTGCCGATGTGGGGGGGGGGACAGGGGGAAGGGGGTTAGTGCCGAGGGGAGAGCAGGGGCCAGGGACCCGAGGGAGAAAAGGAGAAGACCTGTGGCAAGGAGCGAAGGGTACTAGCAGAGGGGTAGGTGGCAGAGGTAAGTGGTAGCCTCTAGGTTGCTGCTCTAGCTTTATCCTTTCGTCTGCATGGTAAAAGAGTTGGATAACCGCTGTCGATCCATGCTGTATTGTCGCGTATGTTTATTTCTTCTGACTGTACGGCATCCCTTCCCCCGCAGTTTGCTGGCGAGGCGCCGACGGAGGAGGAGCTGGCGGCGGCGCTGGTGGCGCTGCAACGGGAGCTGCAGCAGCAGGTGACGGCCACTGGCGGCGGCGGAGCGGCGGCGGCAGCGTCTCGGCTGGTGCCAGCGGGACCGACTGCGTCAAGTCGCGGTGTCGATTTAGCCGCGGTGGCGGCGGCCTCCGGGACGCATGGCGACGGTGCGGGTGGCTTCGCCGCTGGCGTCGGCGCTGGCCTTCTCCCTCCGGAAGAAGCTCCTCGCACCCCCTTCGCCTCCGCCGAGCGCCGCGTCTCCTCACGAGCCGCTGCAGCAGCGGCAGCGGCAGCAGCGCTAGACAACCAGGCGGAAGTAGCCCTGGTCGCTGTTGCCCCCAGGAGGAGGACGACTGAGGCGGTGAGGCTTGGCCTGGACGTGCGGAGCGTCGGCGGTGGCGGAGGCGACGGCGGCCGAGGCAGCAACAGAGCCTCCTCGCCCGCCTCGTCCGCCTCCTCCGGCAGCCGCAGCGGCACCCCTGTTTTGCGGCAGCAGGCGGGTGACGTGTCGTTGGGGCCGCGTCGTAGCGGTTGGGGCGGCGGCAGAGGCGGCGCAAGAGGCATGCAGGCAGGGGAGGAGGAGGACGAGGGGGGCGGCGACTCAGTGCAGCTGCCGGCGTCACCTTCAACGGCAGAGCAGCAGCGGCCGCAGGTACCGCAAGAGCCGCCTACGACGCCGCTAGAGCCTCCGCCTCCGCTGCTGCCGCCGGTGGTCTTGGGCCCCAGCACGATTCGGGCGCCGCCGCTGCTCGCCTTCCTGGATCCGCCAGTTATTGCCGTACCGCCGTCGCCCGTACCGCCGCCGCCGCCGCATGGCAAACGACAAACCACCGCCGCCACCGCTGGAGACAGCAGCAGGAGCAGCGCTGGCGGTGACGGTGACGGTGGCGCGTCGGAGAGATCGATGTACGGAAACGACACAAGGCGCGTACGGCTGGAGCTGTATCTAGATGAGACCGCCGGCGATGACGGCGGCGGAGGCGACAACGGCGGCGGAGGCGATAACGGCGGCGGAGGCGACAATTGCGGCGGAGGCGACAACGGCGGCGGAGGCGA